ATCCCCTTGGAGAGGTGGGTACCCTACAGACAAAGGAAGGAAGAAAACTGACTTCTGCAGAGATCTTTTTGACACTAGCTTGCTGAAGAAGGATGGGGAAGGCAGCTGTGACTAGCAGGATGTGCAGGGAAACAAGGGGACAATGAGAAAAGAGTAAAATGTTGACAAACTAGGATTTGGGGAAGAATAGGAGTGGAACTGTGAGGAGGAGAGACAGAAGTAATGGGGAGGAAAGGGCATGGAGTGATCCACTGCTGCTTAGTGAGTCAGATACTTCATGTAAATGTGATATTGACGTCCAATTCCTCTTCATCCCTGCTTCTATATTTAGCTTATGGAAATTGCTTCTTTTATTTATATATATGTATATATATATATGTGTGTATTTTTTCACTGGAGCCAGTGGGAACTGTTCAGACATTTCCCTCCTCCTTTCCTCCTTTGAAGCAACACCAGGTTTTTATCTGCATATGTGGTGCATGGTTGTGCATGCGTAAGATAGGGTTTGTGCCTTCAAGGAGGTTTATAAACCTCTTCCAGGAACCTTTCCCTGCTTTCTTATTGGCTGATCCAAGTGGCCTTCCTGATGCTGCAAAAACCTATAACATAGCTGTGATAGCCAATTCTGGCCTTTGTAATTGCTGAGGTTACCTCAGTGCTTGCTCCACGAGGAACAGGAGACCTGGAAGAGATTCCGCAGCCATTTTGTCTTTAAAAGCTGCTTGCATCAGGAAGGTGTTTCTTGAAGGTTGTGAGTAACGTCATAGGTCTAGGAATAAACCTTTAAATATGTACGCAATTGTCAACGGCCTCTTCAGGAGCCAGTGTACAAACAAGCAGGACACTTGATCTTAGCTGGCTGGATAGATGGTTTGTACAACAGTAATCCATACGGCAATGAACAGCTGCTATAAATGTCTTGGAAATCAGACTGTACTAGTGCATAAAAAGGTGAGGTTGTCCTCAAGCTATGTGTGCAGCTGTGGAGAAGGTAGTGGAGTTTGTGCTGAAACAAGGTTGCTAGCAGCAATGACCTGAACAGCTAGTGTGCATCATGGTGGGTGTTTAGGTCCCAGATCAAGTGCTTTTAGAGCTGGTGTCAGTTTTCATGTTGGCACTAGCATTTAAAAAGTTCTTTTCAGACAAGGATGCATTGAACTTGAACTTGTTTTGACAGGTTCAATTTGGGAAGTGGTGGTGTGACCATTATGGAAGTGAATGTTTGAAGCACTTTACTCAGTCTGCATCCACAGTTGGAAGCTAGGAACAAAAAGATCAGTACTCTCTTCCCTCGTGTCCTTTGCACCTCTCTTGTCTCTGAGATACTGAATGAAGTCTTATAAAACTGCAGAAAAAGAGGGGTAGGATGGATAGATGACTGTATGCTCTTGTATGCAGTTAATTTTTCATTATAGTAATTTTTATTATTTTAACTAAGATTAAAGCTGACCTGAATAGAAAGGAGTAGGTACTTTGAGTCTCCTGAGGGCTTGGAAGCCATAATGAAATTGGATGAAGCATAGAATAGGTGGGTCAATGGTCTTGACCATTCCTTGTCTTCATTCCTTTTATTTTGCTACACCAAGTTACTTTGCTGAAACAAAGCACACCCAGAGTACTCATGAACTCTCAGCTCCATTGTTTGGGAACTGCTGCAGGTTCTGCTGAAGAATGACTTGCCAGCTATGTGAGGTGGAGGAACTGCTCTGGGGCTGCGAATTGCCAAGTGTCTGAACAGGCACTGAGGCTGCCCTGAGCACTCGCGGGAGGTTAAAGTGGTGAAAGTGCTTAACATCTGCTCTTTGAGATGATGTGCCCTCGGGAGTGGAGAGAACTACACACCTTTCCAGGCATTTTGGGAGGGGGCAATTTGTCAAAGGTAGGTGCTCCTTACTCCCTAGACAGTACTTGTGTCTTGCTGTGAGATCTGTGGCTTGTGGCCTCCCATCCTGGTACATAAAATATCTAGCATTAGCTGGAGCCTTCGTTGCTCTCATGTGTGGCAGACAGGAGAGTGATGGTGGAAAGCATAGCAGTGGGGCAGTTTTTGTTGGATAGCAGCTCATGCAAGAAAGCAAGTTGAAAAGGCCACTTTAGCCTACCCAAATGCCAAATTAATTGGCATATGAATCCATAACTGATTAGCAAGTTAGTTTACAGCTCAACATAACCACGTGTAATCTTTTTTTCAGTAAGTCTGTGGGTTAAAGATACCTTTTTGTGGCACTAGTCAGTACTTGCAGACTAGTACAGAGATACTCTTATTTCTAAAATTCTTTTTTCCTCCTCTTGCTAGAGTTTATTCATTACGAGTCCAACTCCGTGAGCACAAGTGTTTCTTAAGACAGAGTTAAAATATCCATGTCTGTGACTGCTGCTGTGGGACTCTAATCTGTGAGACTCTTGTAGTAATTTGTCAATTCTCCCTGGTGTTGAGGTGGGTGGCCCTTACCTTCCCACTGGAGATCTGGACATCACTGGGAGCCAAGAAGAAGAAAGGAAGGCAGGCTCACAGGGTGACTACCAACTCTGGAGCTCAGCTGAGCTAAAATTCATAACTGAGTGGCCAAAGGCTCTGTTCTGGAAGTTACTAACAGCAAAGAACTGGACCTTAGTGGCTCACTATACTAGGAAGTCATTTATTTACTTGCCTGATTTGAAGACCATGGTTTGTTTTTCACATCTTTCCTGTGTTTTTAGTCTGGCTTCAGTTCTCTGAAGTAATTTTCTTCTTCAGAATATATAGGAAACTCTTTTCCAGGATGTTGAGTCTTTCCTTTATTCTTTCTAATGTTTTCTTTGAAGCTTATTTTTAGCAAGATTCATCATTGTCAATAATTCAACAGTATTTTAGTCCATTAAATCTATCAAACTTCACGTAGTGGAGTTTTACTTTGCTTTTCTGATTAGTTGGAGATTTGAGATTAGACAGATACTTACATCTGCTAACTTCCTATTCCATATCTCATGATTTACAAGGCTTAACCTCACTGAGCTTGTTAATGAATCACAAACCACCTGCTTCTTTACAGTAATCCTTCAGAAATTAATAGCATAGCTTTGACTTGAAACTCCAGATTGGTTCCCCAGGATAAAAAGTGTGGAAGGATCAATCTCAGTCTGAACAGATTCCTTATTTCCTCTTCCAAATTCTTGCACAAGATCATATTTCCAGTCATGGCTGTTAGCCTTCACTATTAAGAAAGCTTGATGCATTTATTGCCTTGGCCTTCTGCATGGGGCATGAGTGGAGAATGATGGGAGGAAGTGTAGAGCAGTTCACTCTGGGACATTTCTTGTGAATGGCTGGTGACTTGGTGGTTAAAGCTTTGGTAACATCTGACTGGGTCTGCTTTGAACTAGTGAAGTTAATGGAGCGTGACTGCTTCCACCAGGGACTTTGAATTCAAAGCCTTTCTATTCTCTTTGCCATTTCAAAATGTACATAGCTTCTGGCAGGTAGCCCTGCCAGTCCATGTAAAGGGGGAGCTGCCTGGCCCAGGGAAGGAGATGCAAGCCTCTGCAGAGATGGCAGAGGTGAGACCCTGCCAAACCTGGGCCGACAGCACAGTGAGCACCAAGTGCTGCTGGGAACACAGAGAGGGCCCTGGACAGCATGGTGTCAAGCTGTGCTGTTTGTTTGTTGCCTACATTGGGATATTGTTCCCGTGCTTTTGTCGTCTTCCTTGTCTACTTTGGACAACTGTGCTACTTCTCTATCCTGCGCATTTCTCCTGTGACTGATGCTTGTGGCCTGGTACGTGTTGTGGGTGAGCCCCAGCGTGATGGTATATAAGTGCAGTGCCTGGCAGCGAGGGCTGCTGGCAGTGGAGCTTGGATATCCAGCTGTGCTCTGCTAGCATGGCTGCAAAGAAGGAGCCAGGAGTCTGAGCATTGGCAGTCTATGTTAACAGTGAGAGACAAAACCCTCGATTTCTATTTTAGAGATGAAGTGAGAGGACACAAAGTCATTAGAGCAATTGGTGTTCTGCCTGAGGCCAATTTTTCTTTCCTTTTATGATTTCAGGACCAAGCAGGAAGGGCCCTGTGGTGGTGGTGGTGGTTTTTTTTTTTTTTTTTTTTGGTTGGGGTGGGGGGGTTCTTTTTTGTTGTTGTTGTTTTTTAATGTAACCAGTGGTTACTGCTCTCTTCTACCAAACAAATGCTGTTATATGAGGATTTTTGATACTTTGTCAGTGTTTATGTGGAGTGGAGAAGATGTAGGACCTGGAAATGTTGCAGGCTGCTTGTGGTGGGTTGAAGCACCAAGTCTGCTGACAGATTCATGGGGAATTGGGGTCTTTTCTCAGTCACTCTCCTCCCAGTCTGTGACTGTTTTGCTCCTGATGGTGATAATTATATGGCTTAGCAGAATTTGCTGCTACTTACTTCTGCAGCTCATATTTCTGAGAGATTTCTATACAGTTCCTAAGCATTTGTTTATTCAGATATGCCTTTTGGGTTAATTGGTTTTGGCATTGTGGTTTTTCATTTCTTAACTTCCAGCCACCTCTCATGTTGTGTTCAACAACTTTCTGTCCTGTGACATGGGCAAGGTGCAAAAATTTAACTCCGCAACTCTGAGATTTTCTAGAAATTACGTATTTTCTTCATCCTAACATTTTTGATCTGCTCTAGACATGCTAGTTTGGTGGTTGGTAGAGACAGTTGTTTTTATGGCAGGGGACTTAATCTATTAGAGCCATCACATGGACTCATCATTAACCTTTCTGTCTGACACGAGCAATCAGAGACTTACGGCTTTCAGATGCAAGAAAGGTAATTTTTATGATACTAGCACACAGTACACCTCTGTATGGGAAAAATTTGCAATTCTTCTTTTGTATTTCCTGAATAGCCAAATCTCAGCCTGTAAAGTTAGGGGATGGAACATCTTTCTGAGGCTATATACACTGCTGCTCTGCCAGTAAGGATAACTCTTTGTTTTTCTTTATAGATATACTTATGCAAACTTTTTTTCTTCCGTTTCTTCCATCTAGGTGTGTTGTTGTGCTGTTCAACCCTAGAAAAAATAAGCAACACCATATTCTAAACAGTTCCAGGTGAGTAAAGTTTCAAGATAACTTGGCTCTCTGTGGGCGATAGATTTCAAGGTTTTTATAGCTTGAGCAAAGTATAGGAACTTCTATTGCTCCCAGCTAATCCCCTCCGTGAGAGTTGCCTTGGGGAGAGCCTGCCTGCTGGCTTAACGCTACCTCCTTCTCATGTGGGGTGCTGTTATTGATGAAGCAACAGCTCACACATTATGTGGCCCCATGAGGAACTGTTAGACTTGCAAGAACTCCTTGATATCTGTTTGTTTTGTTTTTATTTTTTCTTCATGTGAAACTATGGCCTCAATAATGGAGTCAGGACTCAGACTGGTCCTGTGTCTGGAATAAAGGTGTGAATATGAGGGTGAACCTCAACATTTGGAGCATGTCCAGCATTGTAGGTATACTGCTAGAGATTTGGGCACCAGGGAATTCCCAGGGCAAGTGTTAAAACTTCTGGTAAAGCAGAACTATTGTGTCATGCTAGTACGTGCGATTTGAGCCTCTTTCCAGTTTGTCCCAGCCTACTCCCCAATCATGATGTATTGAAATGAAATCATTTGTTGGAAATGTTTCTCAGTGTCATTTTCTCTGTTTTAGGAAAACAATTACAGCACTTGCTTTCTCTCCAGATGGAAAATATTTGGTTACAGGAGAGGTAAGTGTGAGAGAGGAGAGGCACACCTTGTCTACCCATTTTGAAGCATGGCAGAGTGTTAGAAAAAAAAAGCCAGTGAACAACAGCCTTTGCCCAGAGAAACTTATCCTAACGCTGCATCCCTTGAAGGACCAATCAGATTATGGGCAGCTCTGGATGGTCTTGCTGGCAGCTTTTTAGTGTGTTTTTTTTCATTAGCTTAGGGGATGCATCTTCTGCAGTGGCTTGTGTGGGCTGAAGGTAGACTGAAAATAAGTGAGAGGACACACACAGTGTGGCTATACTCTAGCACAGTGAAGAGTAGTTGATGGCCCTTAATATCAAACAGAGTTTAGGACAAGGCTAAGCTGAACTGTGTTGTGCAAAAAATAAAAAGTACGTATGGACTGGAGCTTTTGGAATAGTGACAGAAGATCTGAGTGCCTGTGGTTTGGCATTGTATGTTTGACTGGAGGTGATGATTGCTGCTTCTTTTCAAACATGCCTAAAGGGGGTAATATGGATAACTGCACTGCTTGTCTGTTGTGCATTAGAAGCTGAAGACATGGACTGTGTGTCATGAATTTGGAACTGCTGGATGTTAGAAATCTACAGACATGTTGACTGTCTCTCTTAGGGTTGGGCTCAGTTTGCTCTTTTTTGAGATTAATGGTAGTTTACCATGTGTCTGTGGCTCTTTAAGACATGGGGAGCAAGCATGTGTGAAACAGGTCCCCTCCTGAGTCTCAGCTACAGGGAGAAATGTATCACAGCTCTGTGTTCAAGCTGTCAAGAAGGTGGCTGTGCACTCCAGAGGTCCCTAGAGCAGTCATTGCAGTGGCAGCTATCATGTCACTGGGTGGCTCCACAGCTGGGCTAAGGATGGAACCTGTAGTGTTTCAGGATAGGGGCTGCCTTGACACCTCCCCCAACCCCCTCCCCCCATCCCCCCCCCAAGATTTTCCATCAGAGCTTCTATACTGTAGTATGTTCTTGGTGCCTCCTTATACTCTTGAAGTCTTAAGGTAAACATATAAAAGCATTGTATGTTTATATGAAATTTTCTTCTTTGTATGCATAAAGGAATAAAAAAAAAATCCTTGTTTTTTGTACCTCTCTGCTGCTCTATTTTTTCATGTGTGGTAGGAAAAGAAATGAAAAATGAATTGAATATTTTTCTTACTGACAACCTAAGCTTTTCAGCTTGACACTTTACTAGGGAAAATGACAAGTTTTAATATTTATTTATTTATTTATTTTGCAGTTATACTTGAAAGTTTTTTCTCCCCCCTCCCCCCTTGCTGCAAAACATGTCTCACCCTGTTGTAAGACCATTTCTCTTTTTGGTATCCTCCCACATGCCTCCCATTGGAGTTGTTATTTGGTGGAGTAGTGTCCCCTGCTGGTGTCAGCAGCCTCTTCTTACTTTGTCCTATGGGCGGTCCCACTGGGAAATGCTTACTGAATTAACTTTGTCAAACTGGCTTTTAGCAGCCTCATGTTAATACTGCCTTGTTACAGTTCAACTTCCTGCATGACTGGCTTTTCAGGAAGGTCCTTGGCCTGTCATATGCATCAAATGTCTTTTGAATACTTTATATATATATATATATTTCATGTATTTTTAACTTTTTTCCCATGGGGGCATAAATTCCTCATGTATGGGAGCCATACAGAGCTTGCTTTTGGAGAGCTTTTGTTATGTGATTGAATATGAATTCAATTTGTTAAAGTTTCTAAGTATATTTTAAGATGCTGAGAAGTATATACATGTGTGTGTGTGTGTATATATATATATATACATACATACACACATGTATATATGTGTTTAAGTGCAGTAATTGCTTGGAATAGCAACTGATTTATCTCACTGTAACATCTTGACAGCCACCTTGAGACCTGAGCTCTGCCTTGCAGGAGAGAGAACTGAAACAAACACAACAAAATCCAACCATAGCACTTTTCCAGGCTGCACACAGTCACTTGGCAAAGCTTTTGGACAAGACAATTAAACACTCACAGTTCTGAGTTATTAAAGGCTTCATTTCTCCTTCTTGTCATAAAAGTTGCCTCTCCCACACAATCAGATGACTTAGCCATGATCAGAAAAGGTATCATTTTGCCTCGTTGCCATGGAAATATTATCTTGCAAGCTACTGGTTTGGCAGATTGCAATGTGAAATAACGAATGGGTTCTGTAGTAGGATTTGCTCATCAGACGTATTCTTGGCCAATGCTTCAGCTCATCTGCTCCTTCTTGTTTTATTTTGGTTTAATAACAGATAAAGAAAAAAATTGAATTGTTTTGAATTGGCATTTCTGAAGTCTGTGAGTTTTTCTTTCTCTTGAGAGCAAGTGTAAGAAACAAAGAGGGTCTGTTACCTCAATGTCTTTTTCTTTATCACTACCTAACGTACTTTCTGCTAGCTTGCATTCATGTGTGGTTGTTACCTTTGAGACAGAAATGGTAGTGTTAGTCTCCCATTTGCCTTCCTAAAATGATGTACGATAATTAATATGAACATTCACGTTGTGTTTTTGTGTGGCATGACCTGGTTTGAGATCTCCGATGTCCGCATTGCATTACACAGTTCACTGAGTCCAGAGATGCAGTGTCACATAATCCTCTTCAGAGACTGGCTGTGAATTCCCATTGCAAACATCAGGGATGTGCATGAAAAGTAGTGTTATAGTCTTTGTCCGCTTTATGAGGAGAGTAAGAAAAAGATAAAGGAGGAGACGTAGTCTTACTTCTAAGATGCTTCAGACACCTGTTCAAATGTATATTTTCATTTGGTTGACAGTCTCAATATGGGCTTTAAAGATTTGCAGGAACTCAAGTCTAATCTCACGTCTCACCCTCCTGCAATTCTGGCATATGGACATCTTTTTCTAAGCCTCCCTCATATGTGTTCTTGAATCTGTCAGAACCCACCTCAGAAGTTACGTTTACTGTTCTCTGTTGTTGTCCCCTCCAGAGTGGGCACATGCCAGCTGTTCGGGTGTGGGATGTGGCCGAACGAACCCAAGTGGCGGAGCTCCAGGAGCACAAGTATGGGGTGGCCTGTGTGGCGTTCTCTCCCAGCTCCAAGTACATTGTGTCTGTGGGGTACCAACATGACATGATAGTCAACGTGTGGTCATGGAAGGTGAGCTCTCCAGGAGGTTGGGTAGACAACAATGTTGTTAAATTAAAAGGAGTGGACAGTAACATATTTCGGTTCCATCTTGCTTCCAGCCTCTATTTTATTATTATTGTCTTTTTGACATTCATAGATGCAGACAAGTTTGGACATGATAGAGCTCCAATCCCTTAGGGGTGGTCTAAATCACTTCATTGAAGGAGTATTCTCTATACTTGGAGACATGTGACATCTTGTTGTCCTGTCAGAAGAGCCTGAACTTCGAAGCCTTGACAAAGCCTTGTGCTTTCCTAAAGGCTTGTTAAAAAAAAACAGTTCATGAGATTCAGGAAAGAAACTTTCTTCAGCCGGTGATTCCTCCTTGGTGTAGTGAATGCACTTGGCTCATTTTGTTTTTGCTGTTTTGGGGTTTTTAATACTTTAATTCATTTGTTGATGATTTGGAACAGGAGCTTAGAGAAAGCACGGTGGGTGAAAGCTGATGTAGGCCAAATGTCTGCCATTATGTTGGGGCAACAATCTGTGGAAAGAAAAACTGTGTCTTGTTCTTTAGAAAATGTTTGTGCATGATGCAAAACAACCTCTTCCTAAAAGCAGCAGTCATAAAAATTTTTTGTCAGCTGTGGGCTGCAGCACAGAAAACCCACCACAGACAGAGGAGAAAACTTTTTAATTCACTCTTCTTATTGTTGGGGAAAGGTGAGGAGGAAGTAAACGAAGGGCTAGTCTTTGAGGACAAGGGACTCCTGTCATCTGACTGTTCTACTTGGACAGTGTCTGTTCCCTTTGTATGTTCCTACTTTCCCAAGTTCTTTGACCTTTTGAGGCGCATGGAGAAGTGCAGCAGGTTTTGATTTTGCAGTACAGACATGATTTTTTTTGTATTTTGGATCTTTCCATAAAGCTTCCTGTCTTGAAAGAGAAGAGAGAATTCATGAAGAAACGAGTGCTGTTTTCCTTGAGGAAAATACCTGTTCCCCAGCTCGAGTGGTTTGCCCACATTTCTGCCTGTAGGCTGGGAGAACTCCTTGTGCTGGTTTATGGCCTGTCTTCCTGTTTATAAAGGGAAATGGATTTGCTCTGAGCTCCCTGTGATTGTGCAATCAGCATATCAAGACTCAAACAGCAAGTTCCTGCAGGCAGTAGTGCAGGACTGCTGACTTGTTCTCAGTCCCAGTCGATGTGAAAGAGGGAATTGAATGTAAATGTGAATTGTTCTATCTGCCAAATCAATGCTCTCAGCTTCCTCTGGGGAAGTTGTATTCAGAAGTGAATAGTGTTGAATAGTGCTGCTACAGCACTTGTTGTGAATATGTACCTGTAATGGGAATGAGTTTCCTTTGCTTCTGAGCAAAAAAATATTAAGCTATCTAAATGATTGTGTTTCCAGAAAAACATTGTAGTGGCAGCCAACAAAGTCTCAAGTAAAGTGACAGCTGTGTCATTCTCAGAGGACTGCAGTTACTTTGTCACTGCTGGAAATCGGCACATTAAGTTCTGGTACTTAGATGACAGCAAGACCTCCAAGGTAAGAAAATGGCCATTAAGGGCCAAGCTGTGAACAAGTACTTTCATCTTATGGCAGGGTGGATTTTGTCTCAGTGAGCTGTGGTAACTGGAAATTCTTTGATATTGCTAGAATCATGGAAAAAGTTGAAAAAGACCTCCAAGAACAGCTCCACATTCCCGACTGTCCTGTTTTTATCTTTCTGTAGACTGGTAGCAAATGCATGCTGCAAAGGCAGTTTGTTTTACCCTGTGCTGAGGTAGGGGCGTGGCTGTTGGAGCTGTACAGCATTTTGCTTGTTCTATATAGTCAAATGTATGAAAGGAGAAAAAAAGGCTAGAAAAGAGCTGCAGCTGTTGATATCCTTGCAGCACAGAAGTATGGAAAGCTGTTTGATGTTGGTCCCAAGCATCTTGCGAATGTGTTTTGTGAACTGTGAACTAAAGTGTTTAACTGAAGGAACAGGAATCAACGTATGCTCATTCTTCTGAGTGCTCATGAACAGACGTTCCTTTTTCATGCTTGGACTACCTGTTGACATTTGGTATAAAATGCAGGTTGACCATGAAAAGGTGGTTCTTCCTGTTGTTGATCTGCTGTCTCTGGGGTCATATGTTTGGAAGCCCATTTTTGGTGGTCTTAATCATATTCTGTCCCACTGAATTGTTAATACTGGTGATCCTCATAGTATGCAACCAGTGAGTCCACAGCAGGTAAAGCATGTCACTGCATATCCTTGTAGGCTGTTTGCAGTTCTTTCAGGCCTTTCAGTACTTAAGGCTTGATTTTCTTTTTTTCTTTTTTTTTTTTTTAAGAAAAGAAAGTCTTCCTAGAGTGCCTCACTGTTTCTAACAAATTGTATTTTTACTGATAGGTCAATGCCACAGTCCCCTTACTAGGTCGCTCAGGATTGCTTGGAGAACTGAGGAACAACTTCTTTGCAGACGTGGCATGTGGAAGAGGCAAAAAAGCCGACAGCACCTTCTGTATCACATCTTCAGGCCTGCTGTGTGAATTCAATGAAAAAAGGCTGTTAGACAAATGGGTGGAGCTAAGAGTGAGTTTTGTGTTTGCCTGTTGCATAATATTCATGTTGGCTGAAGCAGAGCAGGAATGACAGTAAGAGCACTTGGAGAGCACAAGCTGGCCACCAGCAGTAAGTCACTGGGCCTCTGCCACTTTGTGACTTACGCTGGTTGGTAAGTTAGACAAAAATGGCATTGCTTCTTGGCAAAGAGATTTTATTAATCATTAAGGTCTTTCATTCTCAAGTCTGTCTTACAGCTACTGCCTTCTAGAAAAGCAATGTCCTTTGGCAACCCTTGTGTTGTCCCTCCTGGGTTTTCCTTTGTAAGAAGTAGTCTTAGTAGGATTCTAATTTCTGCTTTCTCTGCAGTGTCTAACCTGGCTTGTGCATCTCAATTCTTGGTTTCCTAGGTAATAGGTAGTGGATTTGGCTATTCTAAACCAGGAAGCCCACAGTTAAAAATTTTAGAGGGTGTATTTTCATTCATGTTGATTGTAAGATGTTCACCTCAAAAGGATCCAGTGTATTAAAACCAAGACAAAAATCTTTCCATATACTTCCTCTCAAGTGAAATGCCTCTTCTCTTCTTTCCTTTTTCTTCTCTAAACTCTGCCCTTCACTCTTGCTCAGAATACAGACAGCTTCACAGTAAGTTGGCGAACAATTTTGCATTGAACTCATCCCCTTATCACCACAGTCCATTTTTACCATTTTCTGCCATTTGTACAGATCCCATTGAAAGGGGGGAGAATGATTTTATTTTTCTTTCTTGACCTCTTGGACAGGTAATGTATCGGTGCAGTAGTACAGGGTGAGGTGCTGCTTGCCTGCCAGCAGTGGTGAGTGTCACAGAGGATAAAAAGCAGTGTTCAGAGCAAGGCTGAAGTGGAAGCTCTTCAGAAAAGAAACTTGGATTTTTAGTATTTTCCTTACTCCCAGGGTTCAAGTTCATTTCACTTCTCTAACCATAATTCCTTTGTCTGTCAAGTTGATGTTCATTCTGTTGTGTGTTTGGTGACCTTAGAAGTAAGAGCGCATTGCTCATGAGCCTTGTGTGCTGTGTCCTCCACAGACTACTGTGGCAAACTGCATCTCTGTGAATCATGATTACATCTTCTGTGGCTGCGCTGATGGCACCGTACGGATTTTTAACCCTCTGAACCTTCACTTTGTCACCACACTGCCGAAGCCGCATTTTTTAGGAACAGACATCGCAAGTGTGACTGAAGCCAGGTACTGTGGAGAGGGTGGAGGGAGGTAGGAAAGGCTTGTATGGGTTAAAACTGTTGCCCAGGCTTTTGCCATCTGCTGAGTGCTCCTTTTATGGACTAAAATAGGCAGTATGTGGCAGATCCCCCCCAGTACTGTAACAGCCTTGCCTGGCATGGCTGGGCTGCAGCCCAAAGCAGTTTGCTGGTTCACACAGCATGTCTTACTCCTCATCTCCCTGGGATTGCTCGGATTTATCTGGCAGCCTTTTGGCGTTGGTTGCTGTGAGCAGAAAGGCAGAGAGGATATGGGATGCTATACCTTGCTTCAGTTGTTCTGTGCCATGGCATATCCTTTGCTTACCACTTTGCTTATTAGAGGTTGAAGACTCTCCTCTGTAGCAGCTTCCTTATATTAACAGAGAACCCAGGCTCTCATGAAATATTATTTCAAAGGTTTCCCTGCAGTCTTTTATGGAATAAGATCTCCTACTGTTACTCTCGGTCTTTCTTCTCTCTATCTTGTACACAGTTGTCTTGTTTTTATTTCCCCTTGCATAAGTACCTTCTGCCCTTCTCAGTTTCTGACCTTCTGAGATAGATGGATAATTTCCCAGTCTTTTTCTGTCATCTTTTCCACTGCTGTCACTAGTAGGGAAGGAGATCTGAGGGTATATGAATCCAGTCATCATTCTACTGGATATTTGGAGGAAGAAACAATTTTTTTTCTTGAGTGTCTTGAGGTAACTTGAGGAAAAAGTTCAAATAATGCACTGTGTAGCTCTTCTTTAGGGATCGGTGAGATGTGGAGGTAGGTCCAGTAATTGAGCTAGAAAGAGATCTATCTCATTTTAAAGTTTGTCATGTTTTGGTAGTGCTAAACCAAGCAATTGCATACACAGACCTTTAAAAAGCAGCTGTCTGCTGCTCTCATCATCAGTCAAGCTGAAACGTTCATGTGATTCTTAAGCATGCATTCTTAGAGTAGACTGCGATCTTAATTTTTTTTATTACTTCCAAAGAGGCTTGAAAACACAGGACTCTTCATATTCTACCTTTTAGTTGACTGCAGCTGGCCCACAGCTGTATTCATGACTTGATTTTTTGATAGGATTTGGGCTACGCTCCTCCAGATCTCAAAGCTACTTGCAGAAGCAGGGCTCCAATTGTCTGTTGTACTAGATGCATTTTGGCCCTCATTCTTGCATCTTCATCAGTCCTTTTCAATTACCTGTTGTCAACACCCCATCAATCTGGCTATAATTACCTTACTCAATATTGTTAGCATCGTTGAGGGACTGGGGAGATAGCTTCTTCTCAATGTGCATAGCAGCAAGAGTTAATAGGAGACTCCTGTTGAGGAGATAGAGGTTTCATGTGGCATGATCTTGCTGTGACATGGTAAAGGGTGCATTTCCTTATTCTGCAGAATTCTTCTGTATTTGAGTTTGTTTGCCTGCCTAGAAGGGGTTGCTGTCTTCAGTTTCCCATGTCATGAGTGTTCCAAGCAGCCCCAAGTAGCTTTTGTGTGGGGCAGGGGTGAAAGGAAAGCATAACAGATATATGGCAACTGAAATGAATCATTCTTTGTCCGCTGTGCTGATATGCTATTTTTTGAATTTGGCATTCTTCCCCTTCATTGCTGTACAGGAGCAGTTTCTGCAGTCAATAAACAAAAAATAGCACCCACAAAAAGATGATCCTCCCTCCCTTTCCTTTGAGGTTGCTTGACTTGGATTTGCCACTTGATTATGTACTGGTAAATGATGATAACCTCCAGTGATGATTAAGTATCCTCTTTGGTGATCCTTCAGGGAGAGTGAAATGCCTGTTTGTGGTGGGACTCTGGGTTGTGTGGTAAGGAGAATGACTTTTGCTATGGGACTTCCAGGCTTTCCTTGGGACTTCACTTGTTCAGCAGACAGGTCTTCCCAGCCAACTGCTCTTTCTACATATATGAGCAACAATGTACTTAACCAGATCCCTGCAGTGAATCTGCACTCCTCTGCTTGACCTCCTTGCTTCAACTCCAGGAGAGTACAAATTAACCAGGCTCTTCTCTCTTTGCACAGTCGTCTTTTCTCCGGTACGGCTGATGCGAAGTATCCAGACACAATTGCCTTGACCTTTGACCCCACCAACCAGTGGCTTTCCTGTGTGTACAATGACCACAGCCTGTATGTATGGGATGTCAAAGACCCGAAGAAAGTGGGCAAGGTCTACTCTGCTTTGTATCACTCGTCCTGTGTGTGGAATGTTGAGGTAAAGATAGATGGGGAATGTTGTCTGCATGTACAAGTCTTGGGTTGCAAGTTGTGGCTGGGGAAGTAATCTGAAGAACTGCCAAAATTAAATGTAAATACTGAATGCAGAAAGAATTGATTCAGCTTTCCTTCTGTGATTACTATAGTTGTTATGGGGCTTGTGTTGGATTTGGAGGCAGTTCTTTGGCTGCACTGCCATTGTGGATCAAATGCTTTAGATGCAGTGTGTTACTGCATCTTGCTACTAAAAGATGAGAAGTCAGAGAAGGGACTGAACTATACAGAGCTGGATAGAAGGGCCTTTTTCACAAATGCCCAAGAGTTTACTGCTGACCTCAAAAAAGCTGCTTGAGGTCTGTGGTGAGCAAGTGCTCCAAAGTCAGAGGAATTAAACAAGTAATAAGGTCTCATCTCTGATCCTCATTAACACATTTACCAGTACTTCCTGCATTAGTCTCTCAGGTGGTTATTGCCTTCCATTTTATTATCTGGTTGACTTCCCTTGAATGGACATAGGAAAGGTTAGGAGATACAGGAAACAGTGCAATTGATATGGTGGTATATATATCCTGACAGTGATCAGGAAAGAGAAGAGTGGAAAGAAAGTAGGAAGAGGTTGAGAACTCTTCTTGTATATTGGCTAATTACATCTCTTCTTTTCTCCTGGTTTATAAATCCACAATAGTACTTGAAATTCTCAAACAACAGTGTAACATTTTTGCATAGCTTTTGAATCATTAGAAACAAAAGGTGCTGACTTATTTTAGGCTTCTACATTCAGGGAAGCATATTTATAATCTTAATAACATTTGAAGTGAATGTGAAACTCTAGTTTGGGATCACATTTTCCTTAGGAGGATTTCTATCTGTCTCTTGCTGTTCCAGAATGCAGAGAGGACAGCTCTTTGATTTAATTTTGTTATGAAATTTGCTGCTGGTGATGCCAGTGCAGGGCAATCACATTCAGAGGTTGATTTTTACCTGCCCTTAGATGTATCCTGAGGTGAAGGACAGCAATCAGTCATGCCTTCCCCCTGGTTCTTTCATCACCTGCTCCTCTGACAACACCATTCGTCTGTGGAACACTGAGAGCTCCAACATTCATGGCACCGCCTTGCACCGCAACATCCTGAGCAATGTAAGATCCCAGGGTTTGATCTCCTCATTGCCCTTGGGTTTGTTCTTTTTTAATATACAGGTATTCCCAAGTTAAGACTCAAGCTTCTTTAGACGTCTAACTCAATGAAGGCTTCTCTGTAAGTAGAGCAAATGTTTAATAAAATATATGGAACTGAAGAAGCATAAAGCATATGTAAAGACAGTTTGTCTGAAATGGCCCTGGGGGACTGTTGCTTTTAGCTGAAAGATGTCACCAATTACAGAATTACTGCCAGTGAAGTTTTTATGTTGTCTGTTTATAAGAATACTTCATTTTAATATTTTGTAAGTAATTAATATTTTTCTGGTTTGTTGTTTACCCAGGACTTGATGAAAATCATCTATGTAGATGACAACACTCAGGTACTTCTGGACACAGATTACAACTCAGGGGGAAGTGCAGACAAAGCTGATACACAAGTGATGGACACAAAGGTGGGGATACGCACTGTCTGTGTGAGTCCCAGTGGGGAGCACCTGGCCTCGGGGGACAGGATAGGCACTCTCAGGTAATCTCATGGAACTTCTTGCACAGGATGAAAGCTGGATAGGCATAAGACTCAAACCCAGATCTTGCTGGTTTTATTAACATACTGAAATCAGTCATATTATGTCTTAGGATATATGAATTGCAGTCTCTGCAGGAAATGCTGAAGGTAGAAGCTCATGACTCTGAGATTCTTTGCCTGGAGTACTCCAAACCTGACACAGGTAAATGCAATTATTTCCCTCTACTGGACCAGCAGAACCAGACTTTGAAAAATACATCTTCCTTCTACTCATCCTTAGAATACTTTAGGCTGAGATTTAAACTTGTTCTTTCTGTTGTTGTGTGAAATCTGAGGGCATTTCTTTGTGTCCATCCATGCAATTCACTGTAGTATAATGTTATGTCCCTTAGATGACTTAAGAAGAAGCTGTTGTAAAATGATGATTGGAAGAGAAAATAGGTTTTCAGTAATGGTCTTACCCTCTTTTTGGCTTTCTTAAAGGGTTAAAGCTCTTAGCCTCAGCCAGTCGGGATAGATTGATTCATGTCTTGGATGCTGGAAAGGACTACAGCCTGCAGCAGACCCTGGATGAACATTCTTCTTCCATCACTTCTGTGAAGTTTGCAGGTAGATACTCACTGTCTCTTTCCAAAGCTGGACTTGAGTACTGTTGTTGTCCTATTGTCTCACTATGGCTGTGAAGTTATTTTATCTACTTAAATACTAGGTTAGACCAGGCTAAAGATACAGCTACTTTTTTGTCATCTCCTGTAGCTTTAGTCCTAACAGAAGTGCCTTCTTTTCTCTTTTACTTCCCCCTCCTTTTTTCCTCCTTCATAAAAAAAGTGATTGAAGCCTCAAGCATTGAAGCCTCTCCTGATTGAAGTCTCAAGCATTTCTTTAGAAATCTATTTTCTATAGTGATTTATTCCCTGTGACTAGTGTCAGATGGTTACATCCTGTCCTTAGAGAGGAGAACTGTGGAACAGTCATCCTCTGAAAAAACTTTAAAAGTCATAAAAAATATTTTGAGATTAATTGGTCATGAATGGATCTGTCATTGCAAACCAGCGTAAGACTTTGCATTTATGGAATGGAGCATGCTGTATCCCCAGCACCCTTACTGCTGGTTGCTCAAAGACATTAGTGTGTTTTGGTGTGCTATTGTCAAAGAGCAGCTAGAGTTGGCTACCAGTGGGGCTGGTAGCCAAGAGTGACTGGAAGGCAGGCAGGGGTAGTGACAGTAGTGACAAGGGGAAAGTCCTGCAGAACCTAAGCAAAGTGAAGCAGGCAGAGTTCAGTGACAGTAACTAGATTAAGCCAGCAATTCATATCACCAGACAAATCCAAGACCCAAGATCAAGTCAGGAAGACAAGTCAGCAAGTCAGAGTCATTCTGGAGGAGACAGTAAGGCTGATCACAGTAAAGTGACTTCCAAGCAAGCCTATAGGTACAAGGCAGGTTTGAGTACAAATCAGGAAACTGAATGTAAGGGTCAGGATTTGGATCAGTAGGGTATGTGGCCAGGCATAGGTGTGGCTGCAGTGCTGTTGCAGTGATGTTTAGTTGGGGTTCAAGGATGAGAGCCTGAGCTTAAAAGTAGCTTCTGTGTGAAGGCCGGGGGCCTTGCTGAAGCTTCATAGAATACCTTCAGGGAACTTCTGCTGAGGATCTTTCAAGCTTTTTCTCAAGTAACTCTAAAGTTTGCCAAAGTCATCTGATAGCTCTGTCTTTTTGGTGAGTTGCTTTGAATGCAGCAAGCTGGACTCCCAGGAGATGGGGGAAATGCACTCATAGACCTGGTGGCTAAGGCCATTGTGCAGTTCTATAAGCTAAATGCAGCCTTGCTCTAACTTGCTGTTCAAGTGGTCTTGTGTGATATTGGATACATTTTCATTCCACTGAGATGTTGCTTTGATGAAGGAATAGATTGGTGTGCTAAAAGAAGAAAAAATCTTGACCCTTAAATAAGAAAAGGCAGCAAGAAATATGTAACTGAGTTTGATGACTGAAATGTGCCTGTTGTCCATTTTCAGCTTATACTGAATGTAACCTACTTTTTTCTTGTTGTATTGCCACAAAGTGTTATGGCACATAGAGAATAAGAATGCTGTAGAATAAGCATGTTTTTGGGAGAGAAGGCAGAATTACATCCTAATCTGTTATGTAAGATCTCTGTATTGAGGACTCATGCACTTGGAGTATTAACAAATTCTGTCTCTTAAAAGGGGCTTCTGTATTGCTGCAGCATCATTACTGCTAAGGTAGGAGCCAGTTTTAGTTAATTAGGACTGGAATAAAAGAGCAGTGGTATTAACTGGAGCATTTCTTTCACCTTGTATTTGTATTTATGTTTTGATCAGCTTCTTCATTTTTGTTCTAGCCAATGATGGGAAAGTGCGAATGATAAGCTGTGGGGCAGACAAGAGCATCTATTTCCGCACTGCGCAGAAGGTAACATTATTGCAGCTTTATGTGTTGGTTTTTTTTTTTGTTTTTTGTTTTTTTTTAAATAATCTCACCACAAAGGAACTAATTTAAAGAGTGATATCAGAGTTTATATAAGAGCTTGTTGCTGTTTCAGTCTCACTGTCTCCCACTCTGTCTCAATACAAGAGATTACATTCAGAGAACTATTTCTGTGAAGCATAAGCTGCCACAAGCCTGACCTCTCTCAGCAATGTGCAAAGTAGAGAGCTGTTAGAGTATCTGTTTTTTTTCTGCTGTCCCAGCTACTGTGAAGAGTGGTGAAAGAGTATGGGCTGGAGGGAGGAGTTTGCTACACTGCTCCCAGCAGATCTCGTTAGTGAGAAGGGTTGGTTTAATGCTGTCTGAGTTATAAGGTTCATCTGTATTTAGAAGTTTTTAATAATTAGTTAACTGCTTGATTTTGACATGGCATTTTACCCATATGCTTAGACAGGGGAAGGAGTTCAGTTTACCCGAACACATCACATTGTTAGGAAGACCACTCTATATGACATGGATGTGGACCCCAGCTGGAAATACGCAGCTATTGGCTGTCAGGATCGTAACATCAGGTTGGTTCAGTTCTTGTCTTGAAAATATTCTTGCAGTCATGAATGATCAAGGCTGTTCCAGCACCATCATTGTTCGTTGTTTTTTTGCCGCAGCACTTTGATCTGAGGTCTCTCACCTCAAACTCAGTGAGGTTGTTTCTTTTATCAGCAAGGGGAAAGGCAGAGGTCAAAGTGTAGATACGCAGAAATGTCCATTGGGCTCTTGGCTTCTCACTACATTGCTCTGCAGAGCAAAGTCTTTCTACTGGGGAGAGAAAGTGTGCTAAGCACACCATTGAGCTGTGGAACAAGAACTTCTGTACTGTGGTCATTTTTGCTTTTAAAGGTATGTCCAGTAAGAAGCTGTGAGGTCCTGTGAAGTAGCTGGGACTGAAGGAACCTAAAACTGAGCTAGATGTGACTGTCTTTTTGCAAGTGGAGTCCATGCTCTGTTCCCTTTTAATCTATTTGTCAATCTGTCTGCTTCTACCTTCAAAGCAAAGGAGACTCCTTGTAGTTGTGTGTCTCCCGTTATATCTGGGTGAGATGCTGAGAGTTCTGGACATAATTGAGTGCCACTGCTAAATGTCATTTGTTTTTGAATTCTCATGTAAATACAGAGTTTTGCTCTCTTAGACATTTTTTTTAGTATGAAGAAACCACAAGTATTTTTATAGGAGGTGGATCTGGATGGAACTTCCAGCCGTTCCTGATATGTAATGGTTAGCTGTTACAAGGTATCACAAGGTTTATTCCCTCCTACTTGACTCCTCTGCAGTGCCTGATACTATACTTACTCTTGATCAAAAGCTTGAGAATCAAACCTGAATTCTAAATCAGATAATCTCCTTGATACTGAATCATCCAGTCTTGGGCCTCTACATTACTTTACTACTTGTTTCTTAAACATTTAAATGGTGATTATAGTTCGTAGAGGCTCCCAGGGGTGAGGCCTGTCATGAGGAGCGGAAAGAGAGAAGGTTCCTGGTGACAGAAGCCACAGAGCAGTACGTGGTTAACATGTGTGATGTTGTCTTACTTTTCCCTCAGGGTTTTCAACATAAGCAGTGGGAAGCAGAAGAAGCTGTACAAGGGATCCCAAGGTGAAGATGGCACCCTCATCAAAGTAAGCTGTTTTCTTTCTTCTTTCCTTTTTATTTTTCCTGCTCTTCTGAGTGCACCTTAGAGCTCAAAAAATGATATATGAATCTGGACATAATGCTGTTTTTTTTTTATTTGTTTGTTTTTACCCTTCTTGCTTGCTCTCTACTTTGCTTTTCCTTATCCTGCTTCTTCTTCCTTCTACCTCTGTCCTTAAGGACTGGTAAAGTGGATTTCATCAGGCTAAAATAGGAAGAATCAGTGGACGATCATAACTTCCCTGTCCTCTGTCTGAAGCGAGACACAGGTCATGCTGTAAAAGCAAGCAGAATTGCAACAATATTCATCAGGAGATAATTCAGTCTGTTTACTTTAGTCCTTGTATTTCTGCTTCAGATATCTCATTCTGACTTTCTTGGTTGTTGCTGTCAGTTTTTGAAGGTGGAGTCACCTGTTGACTGGAGTTTAAGAACTGTTGTTGCCAGAGGGCAAATACAAATGGCTTTGAATGTTGATGAAATTAAACAGCATCTGCCTTAAAAATCTCATGTTCTTTGGGCCTTAGAGTGCTGGACAACCCCAGTACTGTTTAGACAGTCTCTTCATGTTTCACATCTGCTGAATATGTCTAGGCTTTGGAGCAGCATGCATGCATGCATGCATCTACCACTTTGTCCTTCCCCTGGTAAAACAAGTGTTGTTATAGGGTTAGTGCTAATAGTGATGCTGGTACATTGAGGTATGGAAGAGTTGTATCCTTATCTTCAAAGGGGAAAGACCAGTTGACAGAATCAAAATATTTCTCAAGTTACCAAACAAGCTTCTTCATTGTATTTATTTTCACTATTAATTTTTATAGTTTTTAAAACATCATTTTCTGTTCAGCTTCACAGGCTATTGATAGCATTGATTGGTATAAATAACTGGGTCAAAAAATGGAGGGGAAAGCAAACAGCTTTGTTCAGTGTCATCTCTTCTGTTTTATAGAGGAGGATAAATTCTCTTTCTCTGTGTCTATTAAATTCCTAAGAAGTTTTTATAAACTCAGATGCTTATGTTTTTTTGTTCTCAAATCTTGTTGCTTGAAGCTGGATTCTTTGTTTTTAATATTTGTTTTTTCATGTGTAGCACAAGTGGGGGGAATCTCAATTGTTTTTAATGTTGCATTGTTCATTTTTAAGACAGTTATATAACAAAGTGATCATAATTGTCCCTGGAATTTAAGCTTATTTGGCATGTTGTTCTGAGATCCTAACATACATTGCAATTTAGCAACCCAAACAGTGACATGTGAAGCCAAAGATGCTGCCTAGCCAAAGAAACCTATCATTATTTAAATATAATGGCTCCTTCAAAAAAACACAAATTTTGCTCTCAATTCCTCTAAGTTCTACAAAGTATAAAGCAGAACATTTGCTGAAAATAGCTGTGTTTACTATGTGGTGTAGAGTTTAGCCCTACTGAAGCATTTGATGCAGGGCCACCAACCTCCAGATCTGGTACTGGATCACATCATCATTAAAGATAATTTTTCCTTGTTATTATTTAACTCTGGCAGCTCTGTTGTTTTTTTAAATTTTCTTTTTTGTTTTGACCTTATGGTAAAAGAAATTAAGACCCTTCAGTACTTTGAAGGAGGTAGGAAAGAGAAGTATGGGCCTTGTATTGGTAATGGTGCCTTCAGAGTCATGAAGGCATTTAATGTAAGTACCTTTAGTCTCTGATTGGGTTGGAAAAAGATATCTAGTTAGTCAGTTTGTTTTAGCGGTTTACTGAGGCTGGAAATTTGTCCTGTAATGCTGGGCAGCCTGGTACTCAATTGAAGTCCAGTGGAAAAAATTTGCATTTTATTCTGTCAACAACTGTGACTGTTTTTGGAGTTCTGGACCATTTTCATGCAGTTTGAAAGAACTTTATCAACAAGTCTTCACACTTCTCTTACTTCCTTAACAGGTACAAACGGATCCCTCTGGGCTTTATATTGCAACCAGTTGTTCTGACAAGAACCTCTCCATCTTCGATTTCTATTCGGGCGAGTGTGTTGCAACCATGTATGGGCATTCAGGTAGGGCATATAAATTTCTGCAAATGCATTTTTCTCCTGGGGACTATATTACTATCTAATACTAGTCAAAGCTTTCTGAAGGTTTTTCCCTACCAGAGTTTACCTAGAGGGTATTTTGGACTAGGCTGTAGTTGAATTATAGTTGTAGTTTATTTCACTCCAATTTAAACCCTTTTAGAATGAATTTTGTACACATGCATGCCTCTTAGGCCATGTAATTATTTGCACAAGTAGTAGCCTGTATAAGGTACTCTTTGTTTTTTCAGTGTATACCATCAGCTCTTGCTATGCTGAGGCTATTCCATTGTAGACAAGAAGAAACTTCAGTCTTCATGCTTACTTCACCTTATGATACCCTTTCTATTCTTTGTTAGATGGTTATGGTAATTGGGACATATTGATATGTCAGGTGTTGGCTTTAATCTGTCTACCTGTCTTCAGCTTGGCAATTCAAATTCTATTTGGTTAACTATCTGTTCCACCTATTGGAATAATTAAAGAAAGGTTTATTGATTTTTATTTCAAACAGAAATTGTGACTGGGATGAAATTCAGTAATGACTGCAAACATCTGATCTCTGTTTCTGGTGACAGGTAAGAGGGGATTGCTTGTTTGTGATATAAACTTTGTCATCTTACACTAGAATTAGTTTGTCCTGAAGGAAGGTTGATTTATTTTATGAGTAATGTTTTATGAAGTCCAAAGAAACAACAAAGCTTTCTGAAGCCAAAATGAGTGCTCTTGGCAAAGGTTATCCTTCCATAAAACAAGATATCCATGTAAAGTGTTTCGGTTTTGTGCTTTTCTGAGTACAGGTACTGTTTCCTGCTAGAAAGGAGACAAAGGATGTGGCCTGTTGCCTTACCACCCCCAGGTCTACAACATAATGCAGTATAATGGATTTTGTGATATTATGAACAGTGGTGCCGAAACTTTGTCTCTTAGGTTAGAGTTTTCATCAGGTGAATGGGCTTGTCTAGCAGAAAAAGGATTTGCCTTTCCCCAGTCTTTCTGCTCCTCTTGATGTGGTCCTCTTCCCTGCTCCCCTGAGTCAGTTGTCTTGCAGTTGACTCCTCAGTAAGGTGATGTGAATCACTAAATCAGTCCTCCACCTCCCCCCAGCTATAGTTTCTACTGATTTCTTGAGCTAAAGCAGCTCATGAAAACTGTAAGTAATCACTAGACTGAGCCTAGCTGCAGAATAAGGACTTATTTTGTTGTAGATATCTGATAAATTTCAAAAACGTGGAAGGTTTAAGATACTCAGTTATCCTTGTGATTTTAGTGCAATGTTCCCTCGTTGTCATGAGTATCATTTTCTTCACTAGAAGTGTGGAGGAGGTGGATGAGAAGTGAGAAAGGGATTCATGAAGAACTTAGCTGTAAGGAGAAGAGAAATTGTGTTTTTTCAAAAGAAAACAGAGGAAAATAGTTTGTTCACACACTATAGCTTGTGTAAAGAATGAAACAGAATAGAAAGGAAAATGGAGATGAAGAAGAGCACAAGGACTGAGAGACTTGAGAGAAAATTACTGCAAGGGAGGGAAAAAAAAAAAGTAAAAGGGATAGTAGAAGCGTACTTATGCAGAGCTTCGTGTCAAATCGCAATGTATTTACAAGTTCATGCTGTTTGCTGCTAGGTTTGATTGCTGTGGGGGTGGGACAAATGAACAAGCCGTATTCGCTTTCTGAATTTGTTTATTGCTTTTTGGTGTTGTCTTGGAAGCCAATTATAGTTGCTGTTATGTTCAAGAGAGCTGCTGTTTGAGGAGAAGCAGCTGGCTGCCCAGGGTTGCCATAGTGCCCAGATGCAGTGCCTCACAACTTTCTCTTTGCTAAAAATCTGAGGAGGGGAATGACAGCTGTTGATGGGAAGCTTCTGTGTCTGTACATGACTTGAATAGTTGGGAGTGACATTCCTGAACTTTGTCACACAAACAAGTAGGACTGAGGGGTGAGAATTGTCAGCTTTTTGGGAATGTATCCAGACTGTTTTCTTGTTTGTCTCCTTTTGGTGTGGAATGAAAATGAAACATTTTAAAGCATCTTTCTATGAGACAAAGTTAGCAGAGAAGATACTGTTGCCTTTAGCATTTTTTCTCGGTCAGGGAGACCAAAAATTCATGATTGTTGTTCAAAATGGCAGAGCAGATGAATTTTTGCAAGCAAGCAGGGAAAAAGGGAAAGGCTCTTTTTGAAAGTTCCTTGGTGAACCGGAGTACCAATGAATATGGTGACACTGCCAGTTCTTGATGAACTTGTTTAAAGTCTCTTTGGATTCCAAAGTAGCATGCAGCATATTATAAATGATAGCAGTAACACCACCTCTGTTTCTACATCAGTGTAAGTACATCCAGCTACACAGGAAAGATGGGTGAGATGAAAAGAATTACTTAGCAATGAGATTGTATTTCAAAGAAAATACTGGTTGCTTTATTTTCTATTACCTGAAGATGAAATACTATATTCTCTAATATAATGTGGAATTTTTTTTAAGCCAGATTTCTGAAGAAAAGGAGATCAGTGAGATGACACTGTTTGCTTCCTTTTCTTAAACATTTTTGAAAAGCGGTCAGATAGAGGAATAAAGGTACAAGATCAGACATGAGACTGCACAAAACTCTGCAGTTACCCTCGTCCAGAGGGAACCTTTGCCAGGCAGGTTTTACCTTTTTGTCATGAGGCATGTGGTGGGATTGAGTTTCCATGACGCTACTACTCTGTGTTTCTCCCTACCACAACTCAAAAGTCTTGTTTGCCTTTGCAAAGGGAATTGATAATTTCAATAAACTGAACTGAGAAAACCCAGCTTCACCTTTCCTTCTTTCAGTTGTATCTTCATCTGGCGTCTGAGCTCAGAGATGACCATCAACATGCGGCAGCGACTATCTGACATGAAGCAGAGAGGAAAGCAGGCAGAAAAGTCTCCTCCACATAAGACAGCTGGACTTATGAGGTGAGCAGAAGACTGAAAGGAGCTTGCTGGCTTTGTAGGGCTTAAAGTGAAAGGTATGGCAGTGGGGTTCAACTGAAAAGTTTCTTCTGTTTCCACTAATAGTATTTGAAAAGTTCTGACTGTTCTCTTGTGGTATTTGTGCCTTTCCTTTGGATATAGAAACCTGACTGTGGTCTTCCAGACGGACTTACCTAGTGTTGCTTCACTGCTTGCAGTATGCATATAATGTCACTGGCGTCTTAATTTAGTTTACTGATGTGGTCAGAAACTTTTAATAAGCAGTTTATCTAGCAATACTGAGATTAGTACAGGGCATCCCACCAAGGAAGAATTGCTGCTTCATGGATAAAGTTCTGTGGGCCTGGGCTGAAATGCAATTTAGAGACCATTTTCTGCAGTGCCAGTACTGAAATATGCCTGTGAGCTGTATGAGATAGCCATGTTGATTATAATTCTGAAAGAGTTCTTACAGTTGTGCTGTTTCTTTAACTATTTTCAAGAGGCTTTGGAGAAGGTTACCTTTAATTATAAATAATAAACATAAAAATAATTTCCATGAGAAGTTCTTGCCAGCTGAATCATACTATTACTTTTGCTCAGTAAACAACTTATCTAAAAGCAAACTACCACAGCCTACAAACTGAATAGATCTAAGTTTATCTGGTGACCTTTCTTTAAAAAGTCGTGCTTAAAAACAGACCCTGTTTTTATACAGAACATAAGTGGCAGAGAACTATGAATTACTAGTGTAATGTGTTTAGTTTCTCCGTAGTTGAGACTCATTTGACCAAAAACAATGCAGGAAGAAGTGCTGAACAAGCTGATGTGGGATCAAAGTGGGAGGAAAAAAAAGGATAAACAGAGCTTTTTGATGCTATGTCCCACAGTTTTCTTCTCCAAATATCTACAATTTGAGTTTGAGATATAAAGGTGCCGAAGCACTGGAGGACTTACCATACTGGTTGTTAGAGTATCACAAGGAACTTCCCACTCCCTTAAGGAGCAAGTAGCATTTGAACAAGTCTGTCTGCATAGTTTCATTTGGGAAGGTCTTGATCTGCTCATTCTTGAAACAGCTCTTGCCTAGGAAGTGTTTTCAGTAATGATATGAGAGAACTCGTGAAGCCTTTTTTCTAGCCAAAATTCTGGAACTGTCAAGCTATGTGCTTTCTATAGCAGACTCCATTATTCCAGCAGCTGCAGCCTTACCCTACTGAGGCTCAGCCTGTGACAGATAATCCCAGTCCTCTTTTGCATTAGGTGATACTTGCTTCCGTCACACATGCTTGCTAAAGGGCGGTGTTAGTGCCACGCCAACTTCAGCACTTTATTAAACTTGTTTGGTAACCTCTTTGCAAGCTTGGAATCTTCTTGTTTGGTCAGCTCTGAAAGCTTGTTTTCAGTTTTGATCGACTGCTGTGGTCTAGGGAGATCAACAAAAACGTAACTCCAGAGCATTTTGGTTTGGGACTGAATATGGAGGAAGAGCCTATTGGACCAGCATTACTGAGGTGGGAGAAGAGAAACAAATGAATCTGGTTTTGTAGATGCTTTGTATCTGCTCCGGTTAATGTATTAATTGTGTTTCGAGTCTATATGTGTTGGTTGCAGTGGTGTTACACTTACTGATATAAAACCTGTTGTCTCAAAAAGACTCACAGAAGCATAAGAAGGCTCTGTACCCGATAGTATGTTGTTTGTTTGACTAGGTTTTGTCTAGAATGGTATTGCTAGAATTTGATGGGGGTAGTAATGCATTCTACTAGTTCCATAATTTGAGAGTATGGTACGATGAATAACCAAAATAATACTGGGGAAGAAGAATGGAGCTGAGGAGGCAGTGGGGAGCTGGAGCAAAAGCACTCTGTCCAGCTGCAGCTGACAGGGCAGGGATTAATCCAGGTGAATAACCTCTGGAATGTAAACGTAGAACATGCCTTTCTGGGTCAAACCGCTGGTTCATAAAGTTCAGTATTCTGTGTCTATTTAGTGAAACACTTGAGAGCCTTGTTATATGGACCTTTGCAGTGTGCTCACCTTACTCTCAGTTGTTGCATCTGGGGTGTGAGGAGGTGTATCTGCGTGTTCCCTTTAGTATTTGGTCATTGTTCACTGAATCTGTATAAATCCCTTTGGAACTTCCTAATATTCTCTGCCTCTGCACCCCCACATTGTGATAAGATACAGGAGTTCACTTCTCTCTATGGAAAGAAACATTTTTTTCTGTTTTAAACTACAATTCTGCTAGTTTTAATGAAAGTTCCCTGGCTTTGTGAGCTTTAAACTATAGTTCTGCATCCAGCTATCTGTCATCTCCAAGGTTTTGTAATCCTCTCTCATAACCTCTCCCCATCCAACCTTTCCAAAGCAAGTCCTAGCTTTTTTTGATGCCTCCAAAAACTTCTACTAAAGCTGTTGCTCTGAATGGTTTCTCTGTCTCCTTTGATGGGACGTTGGTTTATTTTGGAACTAATCTGACCTGTATGACCCACAGTGTTCCACATACCTTCCAGTTCTGTCTGTGGTTGAAGAATTGCTGGCGTATGCTTTTCTCTTATCTACTGAACACAAGCAGCTTTCATTGTTCAGGATGAAGAACTTGTACTCAGCTGATGTTGCTGATATATTTTGGTTTTGAGACATCTGTATTTTCAGCAAAGGAGTCATGTAGAATCCTTTTAATACAGTTTTGATTTTGATCCAAGTATGCATTTATTGTTTAGAAAAACTTGTCTTAAATTTTTGGAAGGGAAGTTTTAAATTGATTTTATTGCGGAATGTTTAGAGGGATTATAGCCTTGTTTATACATTTTGATTTTAAAAGTCACTTTTTCTGTGGCTGGTTGAAGCACAAGTATAAATAGCAGGAGATAGAAATGGTATCCAAATTAAATTGTCTAAAATTAACATATGCTTTCCAAAGAAGTACAATGTGCCTTTGGATCTACTTGGAAAGAGCTGCTCCTTATCAAATTTTCAGTGGGGTTTTAGTCCAGTCCAGGAAAGCTGTGTAGTTTCCATGTCTCAGAATAGTTTAGGCTTTTGATGCCAGATCAAAAGTGGTGCCTGAGTTGAGCTGCCTTGGTTTTAACACCAGGGAAGCTCTGAATGCAGCAGCCCTGTGATCTTTCTGTCAGGAAAAGTTGGGTTACTTTCATTTTAAAATTCTTAGGCATTTGACAGAGGGTAGAATCTGCTGGTGTGCTGTACCACATAAGATGTTAAAGTTTGATAAATAAGCGTCTAAAGCTGACAGTTTAAGTAGGACGAGATCAGAGTGGCAATACTGATAATACATCTATTTAAATGGATAGTTGACATTCTTGTGTTTTGTTCATATGTTATTTTAAAAAAAGAAAGAAGGGTTAAATTCAGGACATGTAAAATAATACAGAGTACCCTAGCATTAGATGTTTTAAAACTAGAGCTCCATGTGGCGCTTATAAGTCTGTATTATATAAGTGTCTTAATGACTTTCTAACTGAAGGTCCAGCCCTGCCATTGACTCTTTGCTGTCAGACTCTGCAGAAACCACAGAGTGCAAGACCCAGGCATAGTGCTAGAAGGGAGTAGCTCCTCAGCAAAGGAGTGAAACATCCAACCAGTTAGATGTTAAGAGGTCTAATAATTCAGCCCTTCTTTCTTCATTACCTGGTGTAGGGAACCTGCTTTGGCAAGGGGGTTGGACTCAATGATCTCTGGAGGTCCCTTCCAACCCCTACAATTCTGTAATTCTGTGATTCTGTGATAAACTGCTCATAGAAGCCTGATAAGCACAAGCAGAAAGATGCTGTCAGAGTCACTGATACAAAATTAATATTGCCTGCCATATATAAATATAATATGCCTTGCAAGATAAATCACCTCATAGCTTGCATTTCATTGGGATTCCTCTGCTCAGACAAAACAACATGAACACTTAAGAAGACCATGGAAAAGATGAAGAGACTGACAAACTCAAATGTCAAAAATAGATAGTACAGCCAACGTGAAACTATTTTACTCGAGGACTCAACAGACTATGCTGTCAGTTCATTCTTCTTTTGCCAGCACACCTTAAAGCTCATCTGAAATGACTGGGTAATTATTGTTCAGCCACTCCTAATAAAATGCAAACTAAAGTCATGCCACTATGTGGGAAGAGAAAAAAATTATAATACCTTAACTTGTGTTAAATTATGTTACAATATTGTCTGCTATCTGTCAGCTGCAGGAGAACTTGGTTCCTGGCCAGGCTACTCTGTATCTGGTAGATGAACTATATTTATCTCATGAATAATGCTTGGTACTCAACACTCAGCAGCAATATCCTATAAACGTCACTAATGATGAGTTTGGCACTGCAGCTTAAGGCCATAGAGTGGATGCTACTCAAATTTATTTTGGGGATTTTCATTTGTTTAATTATTGTCCAAAGTGGATTAATTGGTTCTTTTGAATGAAGAGGTGAGGGGAGGGACAGGAAAAAGGGAGGAAAAAAAAAAAAAGAGAGAGAGATTATAGATTGATGCAGGTAAGTGTCCTTACTTGTTGGGAAATTCTGTGCTTGTGTCTCTGAGGTCTGTGTGAAAATGCTTGTTTAATCTACTTTGATTAAAGATCTTCCCAAAGTATGTTTTACATTATATCTTGTGCCTTAAGTTTAAAAAATGCATCATGGCACTCTTACAGTGTGTGGGCTGTTCATGCAGGTTCTGCATGGCACAGTCCTTGATGTGAACTGACTCCTATGTGATAATTTGCCATATATCTAGTTGCTGTCAAACAGGAAATATGTCTATGACATTTTTGATGTGTAAAATAATTCCGGAGAGAAATGCTTAAGGGTAGGAAAAACACTTGACTTTCAAATATGTTGTACTGTCCTGGCTCTGAAAAGGAAGGCCAGGTTTCATTCCACTTGAACTGCTCTGGCTCGTTTACTTCTGCTCTAATTTCTGTGATCCTTCCACGCTTAAGAGAGAATTTCTGTAAAAGGTTCTACACACCATTTTGCAGGGTTTAACTCACCTTATTTCTCAAGGAATGAGTTTTGCTAGAACTAGGGGTGTTTGTTAGAGTTGAGACACCTTCTGAGTGTTATCTGTGGTGGGGATAAGATGGAAAACTGTAGGATTTTAAATAGTGAGCAGTTCTTGAGACAGACTGTAATACTGCTTCAAATTCCTGCCTCCCAGGCATGAATCCATCTCTGCCCTATCCTCTGTGCCAGCACTTTCATCGGACAGCGACAAGGATGGTGAAGATGAAGGGAATGACGAAGATGAATTAAGTGGGCTGCAGTCTTTCCACGTTCAGTCCAACTGCAACACTGAGAGAGACTCAGGTAATAATGGAAGAGGGGCATGGGCAGAGATTGAGGAAAAAATGTCGTGTGTGAAGTGGGGAAGAGACAAGACCCTGAGTTAGGGACAGTAAGGTATGGGCAGAAAGAGAAAGTCCAAAACATGAATGAGTGGTACATACACTAGGTAATGTTGTCAATTCCAGCGTGTAAAGAGGGGTGTATTTCAGAGCTCAGTTGTTAAATTGCCAAGTTTCCTGCTAGTTCCAGCTGCACAGGCAGTTTTTGAATTAGTGCCCTGGGGTTTGGTTCTACTGTCCACAAAATCCAGTGTACTGGAACTTTTTTTTTTTTCTCCCCAAGCCTTTGATGGACCACTACACAGTGACAAATGTTCTGCTGAGTCAGAGTAAACCATATGTCAAATTGTCTGTTAGAAATTTGATATAACGATTAGGTAGTGCACAAGAAAACGTTTTCACAGTGGTGCAAGGTTTTAGGTGGTATAGGAATGCTGCAGTGGAGAAAAGATGAGGTAAGAGGTCTTTTAAAAAGGCAAACTGCTGGCCAAGGATGTCAACCTGATATATATCTTTTTCCCATTCCAGATCCAGATCTTACCCTCTCAAGAAGCCTTTCCCATTGGGAAATGAGGAGGGTGAGTTGCTAAACCTCCAAATTGTAGTTCTGATGACAGGGGAAGTGAAAAAGAAATTCATATATAGATTAAAAATTCTTCATTTACACTACTGGAAAAGGTACAGCTGCAGTGGGAAACCATTGAGAAGTTCCTCGGTGAAGAACGATTTGGGGATGGTGAAATCATGCCTAGTTAAGAGACTATTTCACTTCAAATCTGTACATCTGTATCTTTCCATCAGATGTTATGCTTTGGTACCCTTCATTTCTGGCCTGAATGTCATGTAGAATTGAAGCTCATCATATCCTTAGATGTGAGTGAGGTACTTAAATGCTGAGTTATGCAAAAAACTGCAACAAAACTGTAATCTTTACCTTAATACCTTTAAGATTAAGGGAGGAAATTTAAACTGTTGGAGAGCTTTGGGGCTTTTATGAAAACTGATATAATTGTGTTTTGCTATGGGCTGCATGTCTTCTGTTCTGTTTTTCTGTCAGCAGAGCTGAATCCTTAAGATTCTTTCTTTCAATTTCCTTCAGGCCAAAGAGATAGCAGCAATCCAGCGTTCAGAGGCACCAATGAGCAAAGTGCCTCGACAACGTGGGCGCTGGTCCCAGCCAACCAACAATATAGAAATGACTGTGAAATCCATGCTTGACTTGCGTCAGTTGGAGTCTTTCTCTGTTTCCCGTTCTCCAAGTCGAGATTCATTGTCTCAAAACAGCAATGGGGATGATAGAGAAGAACAGGCAGATGTCCCCGTGCATATCAACACAGTAAGTGTGCTTCTTGCTGGAGGTGGATCTACCCCAAATACATCTGTCCTGCCTCGTGTTCTGTATTGATTATTGTATGATGCCAATCTTTATATCTTGAAATGGAACTAAAAATGCCTTCTGAGAAAGCTGCTCAGCTCTGTAGTTGTTAGTACTCAGAGCAGAGTACATATGGGATCAAGGTTTCCTTCCAAAGACACAGGGAATACCTTGTATTTTCTCTAAGTTCCTTGATTAGTTGTGGTTCAAACAAGCTGAGCATGGAATTACATGCACGTGTGCCCAATTTCCTGCTAGGAAAACTAACTCCAGTAGCAATTGAAATGTGGCTCAAATGAGACCCTTAGCTGTGGGTTGTGCTAGAGTATTGTCATCCTTGAAACATAGCCATGATCTCTGTCTCTTGGCCACAGCAAGCAACGTGTTCATACTTCAGTATTTCATAACACATAACATCTTCAATGCTTCAGAAGATTAATACTTGTTTTCCAGTAACAACCTGTCCTGGTGCCTACCGTCATTAGCTTTTCCTTCTTATGTAACTTCGTGACTTGAGGAGAGTTTTGGACTCACTGTGTGCAATTCAGCCAGTGATTTTTAGCTTTGACCCCAGACTCTCCTGAACTATGCCTGATCAGTCTGGAAAAGGTAGTAGAAGCACCTGCTTCCAGGTAGCTTATGCTTCGCTTGTGAGGACAGAGGGGTGTGAGGAGTCTAGCATTCACTGTAGAATTTTAGGGGATTACAAATCAAAATTAGAATAGGAAACTACAGCAATCAAACTTCCTAGATGGGCCTACTACAGAGGAGAGACATGGGAGTGTTACCTTCTAATCTCAGATTTTTAAATTATATTCTATGCTGTAATGTGTACATTCTAGCTCTGCACAATAGCTACTGACAAAGTAAAAACACTGGTAGTATCTAATATTCTGTATTTTTTTTTACTAGGTTGGAGGCTCAATAGCTCCCCAAGACAACCGATCTTGTGTACGACCTCAAGTGATTCGGCTTCTGTCTTGTGAAGAGGGGATTTTCTCTCAGGAACTGGAACCATCTGAGAGTGAGGAGTGTGTAATCTACCCTGAGCAAGATGAAATCCATCCCACAGACCCTAGCAGGTTAAAAACAAAAATAAGCCTTCTGCTGTGTATGGCTTACACCTTTCTTGTTTTAGGTTGCTTGCAGCTTGTATGGTAACTTGGATGAGTTGACTTTCTGTCTAATTGATGCCAGGTGCATTTAGTTGAGGGTTTCATGACATCCTGATGATAAAGGAGGCTGAAACAAAGAGGGCACCATTAAAATAATCTGTCATCTGAGGGTGTGCATTAGCAACCTCTTCCAGTATTTTGCTTTCTCCCTTATCTGGGTTGAAATAAGCAAGAGAAAATTTGAAAGCTGGAAAACCATCCAACAGTGATGTATACACGATAGTGAAACATCTGCCCAGGAGAAATGATACTATAATTTGTGATAATTTCAGACCTAATTGGGCTAGAATTTAACACATGTAGTATGTGATGACACTGTGTGGGAAATGTAATAGGCTACATGAGTTAGAATTTGCAGGGATGCTGAAGACAGTGGAGAACTTTTATCCTTTTTCTGCTGTTTCTTCTGTTTGAATTTTACCTTACTGAATTTTCTGTATTATTATGTGTGCCATTTTTCCTTCCCAAATATTATTCTTCCCTTCTTAATCTGATACTAATAACTGTTTAATTTCCTATGTCTCTTCCTCCTCTGTTACAAAGAATGAGCTGATAGCTTTAGACAGACTTTTACACAAGAGAGTACATGCCAAGATTTTGCAGTTGAAGCTGCTAGTTTTTTCTCAGTTTCTCTTGATTTACTTCTTATACTCTAGTATGATAACAGTATGGACAAACCCATATGCTGTTCGAGCTGTAAGAAATGGAGGCATTCTGTTGATGTTGGATTTCTGCTGGACATATCTCGAAGTATGCAACATTCTGCACACTCTACTTGCCATTCAGTTCCATTGAGTGACTTCTGCAATCTACCTTGTATTGCCCTCAGGCATCAGGCAAAAAGAACAGCATTTGTGTCACTCAACAGAGTATGACTCATAAAGTCACAAAAGAAATGAGGAACTCTGTCATACAGTACTGTATTTTTATATGATATTCTTCAGTAAATTGGTATTGCTCAAATCTTCTCTGTTCTGTAACCTAAAGTGACTCAAAGAAATGGGTTGTAAACATGAAAAAAATCATGTATTAGGGCTAAAATCTCTGAAAAACTGGAGTTTGTATCACATGCCCCATCTTAGTCTTGTTTTCATCAAGTAGGCCACTGCTAGATTTTCAACTGTACTGGAAATCAAGCCAGGGCAGTGCAGTCCTGATACCTTGTAATCATGGGAAACTGAAAACGCCCAGAAAGTCAGACAATCCCCTTGAGACTTCACTGTCCAAGCTTAATGAAATGCAAAAAATGTATAATCATGAAAGAAGTAAACTTCTTTTTCTTTTTAAAGCCTTAATTTTGTAATCAAGGTTGTTATTAACACAGGTAAGGCCTTAAAGTTAGACTGCACTCTTCTTTACATCTAAAACAAGTCTCTTCTAGTGCTGTATCTTTCCTGTCTCTCTTGTAGCGAGTACCAGGTAAAAGCACTGCCCCATGGGAAGCTAAATAGAAGTTACCAGAGCAATGGATGTCCAGACAAACACAGTCCAGACAGTGCCTGCTCTGTAGATTACAGCAGCAGTCGTCTTTCCAGCCCAGACCATCCAAATGAAGGTAAGATGTAAAGGTATTATAATTTGTACCTGATGTGAAACACTGCAGGAACTTGGTTGAACTGCCTTGTGCTATGTTTATCAAACTGTGATCCTGATTTCTAAGTACTCGATCCTCTTCATGAACTGAAGCTGAGGTCACATTCTTGTTACTTGTGCTAGTAGTGCTGTAAAGATTCAGGCTCATCTGAGCAGGCACTTCAGTGAAGCCACTGTAGAAGCACTTGGTTGAAGTGCTCTTGCCTTGTGAATCTTTGACTTTTTCTCTCACTAGCTAGGGGAGGCAGGCCTGGTATTGATTATCCCATAGGCTGTGCTGCTTGGGTGTTAGAACAGAGAATTTGCACTTAATGCTGATTGACTTGGCAACTGTAACACTTTGGATTTAAGTTGCTTAATTTAGCATATTTGCTGAATATCTTTTTTAATCTGACATTACTGTGATTATGCTGTTGCAGCTTATATTTTTCTTCTTGGTTTGTGCCTTTTCCCAGATTCTGAAAGCACTGAGCCCCTGAGCGTGGACGGCATCTCAGATCTGGAGGGAGAGGAAGGAGAGGAGGATGTGGGTACCAACATGCCAGTGGGAGAAATTCCTCAGACACCTGATCAGGAGAAGTTCCTCAAGCAGCATTTTGGGACCCTGGGCAGCACTGATGGAAAAGGTACAGCTCTCTGCTTAGTCCGAGCACTTCCTCTGTGAGGACATTCTGCTGTGTAGAAATGGCAAAGGAGAGGGAAACAGGGATTTAGTGAAGAGATGCCTGAACATAAGAGGCATCTGGCAAGTCTGTTGTTGTGTGTGTTTAAGTCTCTGTGGGTCACATTGAAGTCTGTGTTAATTTGGGTTAAGTACTGTCCCTGGAATCCTGAAGAGCGGTTCTCTTGTTCTAGCACTAGTTCTTCATAGTTTACATGACTGTATCAATTGTAAGTGTGTCCCCATAGGTGGCGTGTAGTGGCCTCTAGTGGTATGTTAAGACATAACAAATGTCACAAAAGAAAAGGCTGAAATACTGGGTGGAGGGAGAGAATAAGAGGAGACATCAGAGTGGCAAAGGAGCTGGTTAATCTCTGTTGACCAACTCCAGAACAAAGCGTATCTTTCTAGAATTGAGAATGGTTGCATGTAGCATTATCTGTGTGAGCTATCTGTTTTACTAGTACTATTTTTTTTCCAGTTGATTGGTTTGTTTCCTGCTTGATGCCAGTACCTCACAGTCCTACAGGCACGATAGAACACAAAGGGAAGAGGAAAAAGGAGGAGGCATACCCCTTAGGGAGATTAGCAGTTTCAGGCAGAGTAATCTAAGTACAACAGAAAAGGCAAAGGCAATGAAATTATTTAATTCTGTTGTTTTAGCTCAAAAAATTCTCTAGAATATGGGGGGAGAGGGGAATGCATTCAACAGTCTCTGTGAGGAGAAAATGCATTTATCAGAATGTTTATTTATTCTATAACTAAATTGCTCCTTTTTTCCTTTTTTTTTTTTCTTCCTCCTCTCCTTTAACCAAAATGCCTAGGTGGTTCATGTAGGAGTCTGGAAAGAACTGAAAACCTCAGCATCTCATCTCGCTTTCTTTCCCAATCTCCAGCTCTCAGGTATGATTCTGCTTGTTTTGAGTGTTTGTCTGTCTGTTTTTACTGGTGTGGTGAGGTCTTGTACTAGGCCCTGGGCCAAATTAGAAAGCAGACTTTTGCACCCAGCAGGTTGGTTGTATTTTGGACACGCTGTCCTTTGTCACTATAGCTGTTTGGTTTCTTCCCAAAACATTACTGTTTTGTTCTTTTTCCTCTTTTGAAAATCTGATTAAGTGTTTTATGATTAATAGCTTGATTGATTAAGCTGCAGGAATCACTATCATCTGATTTACTCTTGACCGTTTATGCTCTGTTTATTCTTTTGCATTTCATTCAGCTTGGACAATGAAAGTAGGCTTGTCAACTTTTCCTTTGTTTTTACAGTCCTTTCTTGACTTAGCCTCATTTCTCAGTCCCATGCCTTCATAGGGTACTCCAGTCTCATGCAAAGCCCTGTGGAAATATTATACTTCCAAAAAGTTTTCAACTCTAAAGCATCTCAGAAAACCTCTTTGAGCTTTTTTTCCTTTGGTTAAAAAAAAAAAAAAGAAAAAAAAGAAAAGAGAGGAACAAAAAATAGTAGTGGTATAAATACTTCTGTTGATTCAAGTAAATAAACATTTAAAACAAAAACCTCCTTTTTATTCCTCCAAAATAACAACGTGGAATCTTGGCTTAAATTAATTTAATTGTATAGAATGGAACTAGGTTTAAGTACATTTGTGTTTTACCAATTACGTCTAGATTCACCACGTTATGGAATTTTTTTTATTATTGCTTTATTCGGATGCAGCTGTTGCTGCTGTCAGGAGTGCTTCTTAGTCTATCTTGCATTGGAACCTCGTGTTTAAGAAGACAGTCAGTGGTTAGTTATTGTGTAAGCTTCTGGAAACTTGCAGTGGTGAATGAAGGAAGTTACTGGCACTTCAGAGGTGTAGTAAGTGAAGTAGTTCTAAGTTATGAAGACTTCCATACTTTTAATCTGTCTGTCAAACATGCCAAACTAAAAGTTGCCTCCTTTCTGAGTTAAGCCGTCTGTACTTGTTTGAAATGGTGAGGAAACAAGACTTTTCTCTTGAAGATACGGGCAAACTTTCATAGTAATAATAGCTTGATAATTGTACAAAAGTATAATTACTGTGTCTTGGAGTATCTTGGAATGTAAAAGAATTTATTGTTAGCAAGGTGAGCTGAGAGAAGAGACATGACCTGACTTTACCCATTCTTCCCTCTGCCTGGAACTTTTCCTTCTATCTTGCCTTCACCTTTTATGAAGCCCCTCCCTGAACAATTGACTCAGTGCTACTTGTGATTGAGTAGCCTGATGTAGAATGCTTTAAGATCAGTACACCCAGGGATAAATAGAGCTGTTAAGAGCTTAGGGCAATTCTGCCTTTTAAAAAGTCTAGGTAGGGAAAGGAAAGGCTTTTAGACTGGTTTAGTGCATGTGTTTGATTGTCCAGGGCTACGTACGTACTTGTTTTACTTAGGATTTCTTCATTGCTTTCTCTAGGCGCTTGTCACTTTCCTCATCGAATCTGATACTGGATTCAAAGTCCATTGAGTCTCCAGCTCCAACCAGTCGGTTTACTCAAGACCTGTTGAAAAATGACAGCAGCCATCCTGCTGATTCTTTGGAAAACAACCACCTCTTGGATAATGTAAATTTGCATCGGGCTGTTTATGCCCAGAAAAAACGCAAGTCAGCCTTGGAGACCAGCAGAGTTGGTATGGCTCCTGGACGAGTTATTGCATCCTTTCCAGAAGGCCCTGTGAATGCAGTGATGAGAAAGGCACAGTCAGTTCACGACCTTGTTCATGAGGGTAAGGACTCCAACTGGAATGATGGTATAAATTCAGAAATGAAATGGGGAGGTTTAAGTGGAGATTAAATTTTTGTCTTTTGTCTTCTGAGCTACAGACTTTGCATGTCTTTTAATTCTTAGCCCATCAAGGGAAAATATTTTTGCTTTGTAGCACAGATGCTGGTCTCCTAATTAGTAGTTTCTGATATTTGTCTGGCAGCTTTAAGAGGAGAAATGCCAAGGGTGAAACTGGCTATTTGCAAAGAAATCTCCTTCTGCCATGAGTGGTTGCTCCAGACAAAAAGTGAAGCTCCCTAGGGTGAGGAGGGGAGGAAAAAGGGATAAAGAGTGCAGTAAGAAGGGGGCTTACTGTATATATGCACTCTGTGTGAAAGAAGTGAAAGAACCCCAGTTTTGAAACAGTCAACTCAATGGAGCCATCGGTAAGCACTAAGTTTGTTTTTAAAAAACAAAACTTATCATCACAACTCCATGCATATGTGAGTGGATTAGAGAACTGACAGTTTTTGCCTGCTTCCTCTGCCTTCTCAGTTAACAGTCATGGTGATCTGAGGTGTTCTGGCTATATGCTTTAAGAACAGGTCTCCCCTGAGGTAAGCAACAGTGTGAGAGCAAGATGAGGGATGGGAAAAAAAGAAAGTGTTGAGACTTGATAATATTAACCTGAATAGGTTAATAGATTAATAGGTTAATAATAATAGGAACAGTGATTTTGTACACTTCCTCCGGGGGCTGAGCCGAGGCACATAGACTGAAGCAGCCCTGTTGCTTTCCAGTTTGGGAATTCACTGCAGGCTCTTGTCTGTTTTTGGCATGTTTGTCTGTTTAATTTTCACAGATAAGGGTCCTGGAGTGATATCTTCTGCCAAGCAGCGTCCTCATACTCTTATGGTGGTTGAGAAGGATCCCAGACCTAATAATTGCAGGGCGTTATCATCCAGTCTGTTGAAGATGGATGGATCTGGTGCTCTGCTGGCCAAAGATGTCAGGGCTGCAAAACCAAAGTCCTACATGAACCCTACAACCAGCTTCCGGGCTAAGATGTCAAGGAGCATATCTGTAGGGGAAAATCTGTACCTTGGTTACTCCACCGATGTGTTGACTGATGGGAGGACTAGCCCTCCAGCGGCAGAGAAGACACAGTTCAGTCCCACAGCAGACGCTGAGAAGATGAAGTTAACAGTAAAAGAAAATTATCCAGTGAAGCCAGCACTTCAGCCAGTTGTAAACTGCTTGTCTCCCAAGTCCTTTCACAGCAAGTTGGCATCATCAAACCGAGCACACCTGATTCTCGACATTCCTAAGCCATTGCCTGATAGACCCACACTGGCCTCCTTCTCACCCACTACCAAAACCAAAACCCTGCTTGAGCCACAGTCTCCACAGTCACCTGCTGGGGCCTGTAAAAAGAAACCCTCATTCCCTGAGGTCCGAACCTCCAAGAAGGAGAATCAAGCTGCTGGGTCTCTGGTTCCTGGTAGAGAGAATTCAACAGGACTTGCTAAGGAGAGCCCAGTAGAGAGTCCAATTTCAAGGACAGGTTGCCAGTTTGAGCCAGGGGTCACAAATCTAAAACTGAGGGAGTTTTCAGAGGTCCGGCAACTGAAGTCTCCTGAAAGCACACTGCCCAGGTGTAAGGAGAGGACCACCGGCATCGCCTGTGTGCTAGACAACCAACCTGGACTTTGCCCACTAGACCCCATCAGGCCGAGGTCTCCTACATCTGTAACTGCCTTGGCACAGGTCTCAGGTGTGCATGGATACCCATCTCTTATCTTCCCCCTTCTGTCTCCTGTCTTTGTGAACCGCCTCACGATCCCATCACATTTCTTTACGTCCAGCTTCTGGCCTGTCTCGTCCTGTCTGCACCTGTCTCGTTCCATAAGTCATCCCCTCAATGGTGAGACTCTTCTTCAGCCTGACATCTTTTTCTGAGTCTTTAATTTCCATTTCCTCTGAGTCTTATGTCTGAATGGTTGGTAGACCTCAGCAGTTCCTTGTGCAGTTGCACCTAGGAACTCAAACATTTATTTGGTCAGTCCTGAAAAGTGACATGCTAGGAATCCCTGGTAGTACATGTAGGTTACACCAATTTTGCTCTTTAAGTATATTTGACCAGTAAATGAAAGTGCAGGCCAATATGTGTTAGTCGGGCACATACTACACATAATAGTGACAATGAAGTTACACCACTCAGCACTTGTTGATAAGTGCAGGTGTGCAGAATCCAGAGTTGTTTACCTGCAGTTTTGTTATATGAGAGAAAGCTTGGCAGAAGTGAGTTCCTTGCTGTAGCTATGTGTAAGAGCAAGGAAGTGAGTGCTGCCATCATGTCTGCAAGCTGCATGGATTAATTTTTAAATTACCTCTGATTTGAAGAAAAAGGTACTGGCTGGGGAACTATTTTACGTGCTGAAAGAGCTCTTGAATCTGTTACAAACTCTGATTTAAGGTACTTTAATCAAATGAAAACTAGCTGGTAGCTTCAAACTGAATCAAAAGTCCTACCTGCCAAGGCTGAATTGTCCAGTGATTTTTCTTTTGTGTTAAAACCTGAAATGCCTTCCTGAATTACTTGGCTGAGTTGTACAGTGTGAAGCTGGATGTCAGCCAACACATAGATACCTTGCACTTTAGGGGGACTATACAGTGCACAGTTTTATAAGCCCTTTTGCTATGTTCTTATTCACATTTGAGGAGTATTTCTAGAATACTTTAATCAATTACTTTTTGTGGTCCCAAGCTGCTCTACCATTCATTGCAATGTTTAAATGCAGTATTTCTGCACCTAAGCATTATGGAGAGAAAATCTGGTTTTGTTTAAAATTTTTCTTTTTGCATTTCTAGAGGGATCAAACAGCATAACATTGAAACACTGGTATGCAAAATAGGAAATGTGTTTTGTCTGATAGACTTACTGTTGTGCTATAGAGCAGTTGCTCTGTTGAACATTGAGTGTCTGAAATTTTCAAACTCTAACCCTTACTGAAATGAGGTTTCGTCCAACAGAAATGCAGCATAGAGCTGTAGAATCGTTTCTACAGTGGGAAAATAATAGTCCAATTGTTTGTACACTTCATACTGAGTTTTCTCTTCTAGACTTGGAAACCAAGTGATGGATGTATCACACGATTTTTGTTGAGTTGCTAGAAATCTGCTTGCAGAGTTAGCACAGATGGTTCAGAAAAAAGGTTTTTTTTTATTTGCTTTTTAAGTCAGCTCCCAGTGCAGTGCACAGCATGCCCTGTCAGGGTATTTCAGAAGCATCCTTTAGTCAGTACAGTGCATCCACAATTTTTTTTTCCTCATTGACAGCAGTCAGCCTTCACCTTCTTGGAAATCACTTTTTCCATATTTTTAGTGGTAAATGCTGGAAAAGCTGACTTTTGCTGTGAACAATCTGCTGTGATTTCTGTGGATCATAATGTGGAATTTAGACTAGTACTGCAGGGTGACAGTCAGAGATCTTTCTGCTTCTGACTTGCTCTGTGACTTCTGGATTCTGCTTAATTTTTCTATCCTTCAGTTTTCCTGCTTGCATAACATTTGCTCTTAAGGAGACTTAACTGTTTTTGTGAAAGCATTTTGACAACTACAGTTAAAATGCTGAAGATATACTGAATGCTGTTGCTGTGTTTAATATTCCCTGCTGGTTTCTGAAGAGCTCCGCAGGCAGAAAATGCCTGTTATTCCAGCATTTGTGTTTTATTTGTGACCTGTCTCCAGACTGGCATCTCACAGACCTAGACCAGCATAAAAGCATGATCAGAGGAGAAATCCAGGAACAATAATGAGAAGAAAGAACTGACTTGGGGGAGGCTGGGCAAAAAAAGGTGGGAGGGGGTAGGGCAAAAAAAAAACAAATAAAGGTAGCAGGGCAAAAATCTTGGATGGAACTGAAGCCCACTGTGCTCAAACTCTACGAGGCTGAGTGATTCAAGAAAAAGAATACAGATGGATTTGTTCATGTCTCTTTTTCAATATGTACATATGAGTGGATATTCTAGCAGTGTTTATACACCTTCTGCATCTATTCATGAAATTAGATGAGGTCCCCTTCCACCTGTTCAACAATAATCTTTGTGAAGTGCAGAAATAATAGCAGTAATGTGACTAAGTTCTGTTTTTTAGGTAACTGAAGGAAGTTGAATGCCCTTTGTCCAGGCCATTGTAAATTGAAGATAACTGCAGACTGTGTGTGTGTCTCAGCGTCCTCATTCATGATTTATGTCTTAACTCGTGGAAGTGTTTATTTTATTAAAGCCTTGCAGGCCTTCAGCTCTGATGCTTTGGGAGTATTGTCCAGTGAGGGCTGGAAGAAAGTGGTGTTTTTCAGTTCCTTGCTTTTATTTTCAGTTTTTGAATTATGGTATCACAGTACCCTGGACTGTTCAGAAGTGTGATTCCTTTATGATTGTGTTTGTTAGTCAGCAGTCCTCTAGAGCTTAGCCTCACTAGAGGACACTGTAATAAGTCAACATACTCCTTTGTTCCTATAGCTCATTGTTGCATACTGTGCAGAACAGTATATAAAAGGGAGTATGCAGGTTTCAGACTAGGTGGCTGCCAAAGTAGAGGCTCCTCAGATCACACCCCTTCGCTATTGGAAGACTTGATTTGAAGTTGAATTTAACTATAAATGAAAGTGGCATATGCGATCTCTGACTATTGTTGACAGCAAACAGTGTTGTGTAATCTAATAGAGACCATTACTGACTTTGAAGAAACTAAGCAATGGAAAAACAAGAATGTTTGAAACAAGAAGCATTTGTCAGTAATATGAAGGAAAGTTCATGTAGAACTTTCCCATTTAATGATTGATTCAAACCAGCCCAAAAATTGAATGAGAACTGTGCGCACGTGATCTTTTGAATATGTGTTAAGAAATCTTTTTTACCCAGCTGTGAAATCTCAGATAGTGAACTATTTATACCTTACTTTAAATTTTTATTTTTTCCTCTTGTTCAGAATTGAGCATCAGTGTGGAGCAGTGTGAGCATGTGGTATCTGAGCTCCAGGACAGCATGCGCAAAGCTATTCATCTTTACCGTGCGGTGAGTGACCTTTGACACAGGATCTATTCTAGCAGATTGGCTTTACAGCCTACGAGCACTAAATATGCATGCTTACACACTGTAAGTATTCTCTTGACTGTGAGTTCAGTGGCAGAAGCTGCCTGGCTGTCTGTTTTTCTGCACCTAAGCTTGAACTGGGCAGGCAGGGATTCTTGATTTCTAACTTCTGCATTTTCCAGTGGCTTGTTATGGCATTCTGAGCAAATCAATTAATTTTCCAAACTATTTTGTCTATCTGTAAGCTGAAGATAACAGCATGCTCTTTTTCAAAGGAGTATTAGGAAATTAGTATTTATACTACGCTTCAGAGATACAGAATATTATAGGAACTTTAAATTTAATTATGCCCTTCTGTTTCCTCATCTTTGATGCCCAAAAAACGGATTAATAAATTATCATGGGAATTCAGCATGCAACCACTCTCCTCTTCCCCTTACTGCTAGACCATCGTTACATGCAGAGTTGTGTAACAGCTCTTGTTTTCTTTGCTTGGCACTGATCTGTCATGTAACACTGATTGAGGAGCTTCCACAGTGAACTTCTGCCATGAGTTCTTCTGCAGCTTCAGTCTCAGTGCTTGCATGAGCTCTGTGACCTCTTTGCGTTCCTGTGACCTGTTGCATTTGGCAGACAGAAAGAAGAAAACACTGGCCCTTTGCTGCAGCTGGGCAACAGCACCTTTTAGGCCTGGTATAATAGCATCAAAATCCAGAAAATATGCTTCCCACCTGTATTCTTTTAGAGTAATGCCTCTGTTTCTTGTGTGACTAGCTGTATCAGATACATACTCTGTTATATGATTAAATTGGTAGTCATGCCAATTTAGGCATATTGAAGAAAAGGACACTGATTGGTTTGTATTTCTTTTTCATGGCTTCACTTTTCAAAAGAGCTGAAACTGCTTCTTTGTGCACTACCTGACACCCAATGTATTCTTTTTTCTTTTCTTTTGCTTCTCTGTTTTCAGGTGCTAAATGATACAGAGTCATCTACTGACAAAGATAAAATAGCAGGCCTCCTGACAGAAACATTTTCCTTAATGAAGAAAGAGTTGGACTCCCTGAAGGATGAGGAAGAATTGCCAAAGGTTAAGGAGGTACTGACGAAGCCACAAGATACTGCTAGGTCACTAAATGACAAATGTGGTGCCAATCTACCAAGTCCCAAGAGTTTAGGAGATGAGCAGACACTAGCTTTACTGGAACAGTACTCAGAGTTATTGTTACAAGCTGTGGAACGACGCATGGACAAAAAACTCTAAAAGTGGTGTCTTTCAGGTGTTTGTGAATATACAGAAATAATCCGAAGAGGAGGACCACAGAGAGTTCTTCAGACCAATGCCATCATCACACTGGTCTAGAGCTGGTGGGGTGACCTTTATAAACTGATTTCCTCAGGCCCCTACAGTTGACTTGCTCTAATTCTTAGGAATGTGCTGGGCACAGTTTTAACATTTTTTTCCCAATTGTCTTCAACTTCCTGTCTCTAGATCGTCTCTAGACAAAATTTTGAAAGGAGTTTGGAGAAATTGTCTTGAAATTTCTTCATAGCCAGGAGATCAGGATGTTTGGCGTCTAAAGAAACAGAGAAAATCTCATTTATCCAAGAAATTCTGAACTGCGGACTGAAAACAAAAGAGTCCAAGTGAAGCCAATCCCTTCTTCTCCAAAGCTGTAGGAGAATCAAGAAGCAGACTTTTTATGGGTTTATTTATTAATTTATTTTTTCTGACTGTTGCTCTAATGTCACGTTTGTGACTAGTATCTATCCTTTAACAAAAAAAATTGTCAATCTCTTGCCATATCCCAGCGAGAAACAATCTCTGTATTATAAATCTCCAAGAGGGAGACAGGCTGGAGTGTCTGTGCAATTAATGAATCTGTTTCTGCTTAAATTTTGTCTTGCTGTTCTTTCTTTTCCTTCCATAGTTTACTACTTGGAGTAATCCTGCTGTTGTTTTGACTACTCTTGTCTGCTTTTCTCTTTGTTTCACAAGACAGTCCTCATACCTGTATTTTATCTGCATTCGCCTCCTGGGGAAAGACTCCACAACCCTTGGGCCAAGCTTTGGAGTTTGTCTAACAAAATCAGTGGTATTTTTTAATCTGGAATTTGATATTATGTTGATATTCTCTAGACTAGGTTTTTCTGCAGACATTTTAAAAAGGAAGCTATACATAAAGAGGAAAGTTCATTTCAGCCACCTTTCACAGTTAGGAATTGGTTATCAACTTTGATGTTATAATTACTGGGAAATTTGGGGATATGATTTATTTGTGGAGAAATCACACTGAAAGCCTGGTTTCCAACAGCATAACTCTGGAGTTGAGAGATCTTCAGTACAACTACTCATCCATATGATTTGTTGATTTCACTGTCTTGATAGAAGATTTTTTTTTCTTGTTCCAGGAAAACAGAATACTTACATCTCAAGAAAGCTGGGATTCTTGTCCATTTTGTAATTCTGTTCCAGCTACCCATAAAAAATGGTTTACCAGGAACGTACCAAAACATTTTTGAATGTGATTATTGCCATTCCCACCCCCAGCCTCTCTTAATTAATTTCTTAATTGACAAATGGAAAATCATCTCCTCTTGCATTTGTATGTACAATACTCTTCTCACGTTCTCTAAGACCGTGCTAACTTTTATTTGTTAAGACTTAAAACTGTCCAATGATATTTTATTAATCAACAGTAAGCTATAAAACAAACAAAAAAAACCCCACAATGAACCAGCAGAAAAACTCTTCAGTACCTTCCCTCATAATTCTCACTCCTTTCCACAATCTCCTGATTTACTTGCATTTATTTTAAGGCAGAGCAGTGTGTACTTCCCATTTATACTCCCAGTTTATAAAACTAATGCAAGTAACAAGCTTTCATGTGAATGAGAGAATGCTAGTATCTGTGGTGCTCACTTAAAGCTAGACTGCATCAGTTTGTTCTGTAGGTTGAAAGCTTGAAGTAGTCGTCTTTCATTTTGCTGTCCTGGCTGTCATCTCTCTGAATCCTTATGGCACTTGGAAATGCTGTCTGTTGGTTTGCTTTGCTTTCTCTTTCTGTGACTGGGGATTTGCAGTGCAGCCTTTTTTTTTTTTTTTTACTACTGGGCCAGCCAGACTGGTGTAGGATGGCTTATTTCTTCTGTATACTCTAGGGCTGAATTATCTGCAGTTGTCACTATTCCCTTGCCTGATCACTACTGCTCAGTGCTTTGCAATGTGACAGTACATGGAGCACTTCCAGAACTTTCCAACTGCTTCTGTCTCTAATGTAAATCTGCCTCATTGAGTGTTACAGTTGTCCTTGCTAACCTTTCTTTCCATGGATTTGTACTGAAACTTTAGAAGCGGTATCTTCTAGTCCTGTCTCATCATTGTGCTATGCTGAACTGATTGGTGTGCTGGGTCCCATAGGCAGAGAGGTTTTTGTGAAGACAAATTGAAAAATATAGAAACTTTCTGTCAGTTTCCTTGAGTAAAAAGGTGTGCTGGAGATGCTACAAGTGGAGTGTCTGGTGGCAGTGGTGCTGGGCTGTGATGGAGTTAGTGTGAGTCAAGCTTGCTTTTGGGATGATTAGTTCCTCCTCTTTCAGACTGTGAACATATGTCCTAGTAACTTCTTGCTGTACTGGGACCTCAAGACACTCAGGTAAAATAGCAGCCCCTTCAACCCAGGTATCTTTTGGTACTGAAGATTATGGTTTGAGGGAGCTTTATTCTACTTCCTTGTGCAGTTTTATTATCCATTTCATTATTTCATTTATGAGGTAGTGGCAAAAATGGTCAAAGAGAGCCAGTGGTCAGAGCAAAGTTCACATCAAACTGTAGGGCAACAGCAACCACTGAAACTGGCATAGTGATACAATTCAACGCTCCTTGGAAAGAAGACATGTGAAGCAAATAGGATTTTTAAGCTGATCAGAGTAGGTTTTGCTTCCTGGATTGGATTTCGCTTGGGCATCATGGCTGCATGCAGGAAACCAGAGGTAAATTCTGCCTGGAATGATGGTAAAAGAGGCATCAGGCAAGTGGATGAGCTGAAGGAGGGTGGTTGTGTAGTTTAAAGTAGAATAGTATATGTAGGACATTCAGGAAAACAGAGTAGAGGTAGAAATGGCCTTGGTCCAAAGAACATTGTTTGGCCAGTAACCATTTAAGATAAAGTATAGAAAAGCTTCAGGAAAGTAGATTTAGGACTGAGGTGGTGATCTGTAATTGCTGAATGAATCAGAAGGTGTTTTTAAAAATATCCTATCAGGCCTCTTGTTTCTTTGCTTGCTGTCCTCTAAGCAAATGTTTATTAAAAGGCAAAAGTGTCAGCTGGTTGCCCAAGGTATGGAAGTTAACTGAGAATTCAGTTGAAGAGATGCTAGTGCCACAAGTGTGTTGATGCTTAGTATTTGAGATGAATGCAACCGTCTCTTTACTGCTAAGTTCCTATTGTTAGCAGTGGGAAATAATCCTAAAAGTTCTAGTTTACAGTGCAAAGCACAAATGGGATAGATTCTGTTGCACGCTGTGAATGCGATTTGCTACAGGTTCTGGGTGAGGCCAGGCAGAAAAACAAAATAATTGCTTAGAAAGTGAAAAGGTCTTTGGGAGAAGGTAGTGAGCTTGAACCTATCCCTCTACTGGTTTGTGATCCCTCATTCAGGTTTGTGTGGGTGTTAGAACAGGTATAACCAGAGACCTGTACAACGAGTTGGTTGTTTAGCATAGTCTGTATTAAGAATTTAGACTTACCATGCTTTTTGTCCTCTCATACCCAGCATTTCTGGTCAAAATGAGAACTGTGTATTTTCCCCCATCTTGCTTATATAAATAGCATTGCTGTAGGACCCTTGCTTTGCTCGTAGGCCTCTGAGGTGATGCAGGGGGAGGGCAGCAGGCTCAGTGTTCTTCCTGGGCAGCGGCTGCAGCCTCCTTCAGCGTGCCCAGACTGTGTGTTTACATGGCTCCGTTGTTTCTCCTGCCTCTTCTCTCAGGTGTCTCCTTTCTCTTGGCTCTCCCAGGTGACAGTTAGGGCAGGCCTTAGAGCTCCTTCACCAAAACCCCCCTTTTTGCAGAATCCATCGCACCCTTGTAAAGAAACACCCTCATTCTCTGGAGCAGAAACGTACAAACTTTTAATTTTTTTAAAGAAAGAATATGTATATAACTATCTATAAGAAAAAAAATACAGTTATTTAAACACTATTGGTAAATTCATGCATGTATATGGTGTTCCCCTTCCTCCCTGCCTCCCCTTCCCCTGGATGTGCAGCATCCGGAACGCTAAATGACAGAAACCTCATTGAAATAAGCGGCAGGTCTTGCGCTGCCCGTGGGTGAGCAGGTGCTGCTTTCTGTGGCTGAGCTGTTCTTACAGTGTAGGTTGTGGGCTGTGTGCTCAGGTGGGGCCCTGCTGTAAGGATGGGCAGGCACCGGGCAGCAACTCTAGGAATAAGCCATGTCCTCTCTGCATGTCGTGTGGGCACCTGACAACTCTCTGGAGGTCAGGTCAACACTGCCCTTCACCTGTTTAAAATAGGGGGGAAAAAATAAAATAAGTTATATTCTCTTGATTTATTTATAAATGTTTTTATACTTCTCCCTCTAAGTGAAATAATCCGTTTAAATGTCGTTTTTCTGAATTTGTAGAAATAAAAACCATTTGCTTTTTTTTTTTTTTAATTTTTATTTTTCCCCCACTGTGAAGCGCCCTGTGCGGCAGCTGTTTTTAACTCTGTATTCATTTGTACTCCGTGTCTTAGAACTGTTTCAATAAAAACGTGGTCATTTGGTACAGCTGTGCCTGCTGGGGGGCAGCACCGCCCTGCCGGGGTGGCGCTGGGGGGGGGGTGGCTGCTTCTCCCCGCCGCCCGGGCCGGGGGCGGGGCCTGGCAGGCGGCGCCGTATCGTGAGGCGGCGCGGCATGGCGGAGGGCGCGGCGCTGCGGGCGGTGCGGAGCTGCCTGGCCGCCTTCCCGCGTGAGGCCCGCGGTGAGTGCGCGGCCGGGCCGGCAGAGCGGCCGCGGGGAATCCGGAGGGAAGGGGGCGGGCGGCCGCGGGGCGGGCGGGACGGCCTGAAATGGCTGAGGGGGGGCCCTTTCTAGGTGACTTTCCTTTGCACAAAGTAACAAAGCACTGATCTGTCTTCTGAAAACCTGTTTTTTTTTTTTTGTTGTTGTTGTTATGCGGTATCTGCAATGCTGGCTGCTGTAGCACGCTTCGGCTCGCCACGCGGTGCAGCCCTCGTGGGCCGCAGCCCTGTGTGCGGGAGCCGCCCGGCACTCTGCATCCAAATCCGTGCCTTTAAACAGAGCTGCTGCGCTGCTCGCTTTTGGTGGCTGGGAGTTGGAAGCTAGTTAGCGTTCTGACAGACTAAAACTGCTTCTCTTTTGCTTGGACAGAGCTGGGGTGGATGGAGTCTGTTCCGTATCTCGATAGGCCTCCATCCCCCCTGGAGTTCTATCGAGAGTGGGTGAGCCCAAATAAACCCTGCATCATCCAGAATGCCATTGGCCACTGGCCAGCGCTGCACAAATGGACCTTGGCGTACCTCAGGTATGGGAGGGCTTCTGGGTGTGACCCAGCGCGACTTTGCCTTGTGAAAGGCCTTTTGTGCACTCGCTTCTGTTGATCGGTTTTCCCAGTGTCCTCTGCGGGTCTGTATGAAAGCAGCATTCACTCTTCGTCTCGCCACGACATTTGAAACTCAATAATTTTCATCGTACAAACACAGTGCCCCCATCAGCTCAGATTGAGTAGGAAGGGCGGGATTGTAACTGCGCTGCGTTAATCAAAACCGAGGCAGAGCGACCTGTGTGTAACCAGCTGCGTCTTGACGTGACTCATGAACAGAATAACCGAAGGGGCCTTCCTTCTGCCTCTGCTGAGGACCAGGGAGCCTCTTTGTTGGCAGGGAGAATTCAGAGAGGCAGGAGATATTCCTCATGCCCTGACTGCAGAGAGCGGTTAGAACAGGCTGTCAGCATCCTCATTAGGCAGTAGAAAATCTTGTCCAGAGACCCATCCGTGAAAGGTCAGGTTTCTTCTGCTGTTCGTGGAATGAGTTGTTCAAGTAAATAGTATCCATAGGAGTGAATTAAGGTCTGGCTATAAACTTCTGATTTATTTTACAGGGAGGTAGTGGGCCGCAAGGTAGTGAGCGTGGCAGTAACACCAAATGGTTATGCAGATGCAGTGTTCCACAACCGTTTTGTCATGCCAGAGGAGCGCCAAATGCCTTTCATGGACTTTTTGGACATTGTGGAGAAGAAAGTGACCTCTCCCAATGTATTCTATGTGCAGAAGCAGTGTTCAAATCTTACTGAGGAGTTCCCTGAACTGATCTGCGATGTGCAGCCTGATATACCATGGATGAGTGAGGCACTTGGTAAACTTTCTGTTTCTCCTATGCTGATTAACATATGCTGTATTAAGCTTTAAAACAATCATGCTGCATACATGTGGAACAATTGTTCTGTTGCTGGTTGCCACAGAACTTCCTGAGTTCATCCCCTCCAAAAGTTGAAGTGGTAAAATAATCTTAGTGTAATCCTAGTTTTGGGTTTGGATTACTCCAAAATCAGCATCTCACTTTATTGGCACCATCAAAAAACACAGTGAGGGTACTGTGCAGCACTTCTTTCAATATTGTGGAATTTTTTCTGATTTAGAGTACGTTTGGACACAAATTCATGCCTAACAAATGAGTGAACACACAACCCCCCTTCTTCACAATTGCACGTGTCTTTTCCTCTTTTCCTGTTATTGCAGTTTATCGTGAACTAAATCTCAGGGCTTCAGGATGGGAAAATGAAGGACTGTAACCATGAGTTTGGTGCGAGGTAGTAATGCATGAAGTTTGATGGGCACTACAGCAGCTTCTTGTGTAGAAAGGTTGGTGCAGCTGTGGGGTTGGAGCTTAATGATCCTTGAGGTCCCTTCCAACCCAAACCATTCTATGAGACTGTGATTCTGTGTTTGCAGAATGCTGTATGCAATGGAAACTGTTGTAGTTAGGAAGGAAGCTGAAGGACAGAAATAAACCAAGTTGGCAGAAAATAACATAAAATGCTTGTCAACATGACACTTCAACTTGCTTTCTTGTTGAGAATGTTTCTCTGTTCCCTAACCATATAGGGAAGAAGCCTGATGCTGTGAATTTCTGGCTCGGGGAATCAGCTGCTGTGACATCTTGTAGGTATTGTATGGTACTGTCAGTCTTTTTTGTGCTTTCACCACAGGATTAAGTGGGCTTGGTTTGAGCTAGCGACACAGTACAACATGTTTGAGAGGGCAGTTCTACTTTAACACATATTTTTGCATTCTTTCTCCTGCAGTCTTTTGCTGCTACGTTTCTGGGTGCATCTTCTGATCTTGCATCAGGCAAAGCACTGATGATTTCTGTCCTGTCAGTGATGAGTTTTAGATATAAATCCAGTCAGATCTTTCTGCACCAGTTCATGTGATATTATCCCACATAGGTTTTTGTGACCTATGTTGTGCGTTACTGATAAAGGAGTTTGGAATGTTCTTGGTTGAGTACATTTGCTACAACATTATACTGTTGATTTCCACTCCCAATTGCCACATAAAAGAGGAAGCAACCTGATAATGAGAAACTTGCACTGTCATTTTACTATTGTTTCTTATGTAGAGAAGGAAAGAGCACTGATTTTTTTTCTCTCTCTCCACATCTCCTTTTTTTTCTCCTCAATCTTAGTACATAAAGATCATTATGAGAACTTGTACTGTGTGATATCTGGAGAGAAACGGTTTCTACTGCATCCACCAAGTGACCGTCCCTTCATTCCATACGGTACTAAATTTGCTATGTACATATGTCTTAAGTCTGGAAGGGGAGATTTACATAGTGAAAGACATAAAAACGAAAGCAGAGAGAACCTGCTTATGCAGTGTTGTTCTTTCCAATGTGTACAGAAATCTCCTATTGCGTGCAGCATGTGGTTTTGTAAGGCAAACATTACTCTGAGGTCAGGTTTCTGTGTCCTATATAGGTTCATTGACACTGCTCAGAGAGGTTATGGATACCTCATCTGTGGAGGTGTTCAAGGTCAGGTTGGATGGGGCCCTGGGCAGCCTGGTCTCCTTTAGATACAGAGACTGGAGGCCCTGCATGCAGCAGGGGGGTTGGAGCTTGATGATTCTTGAGGTTCCTTCCAAGCCAAGCCATTCTATGATTCTGTGATTCTATGACACTCATGGCAGTCTCTTCAGCTTCAAAATATTTGTGTCCTATATCTTGTCAGTATTTAGCACGCCATCATCTTTGGTGTTTAACAGCTTTGAATTCTGCCTGATCTTTTTTTGTCTCTAGAAAAAAGCCAGGAAACTGAAAAGCAAGTTGTAGTTTAGTGAAATATTTAAGTTACTAACAGAATCCTTGAAAACTAGGGAAATGAAAAAAGAGACTCTTAAGGCAACGTTACTTTGCTTCCCCTGTTTTCTCTCTTTACTTGTTTTCTTGAGTACACAGTAAGTTGTTTTGTTGCAAAAGTCTGTAGACAGCTTCACTCTGTGCCTATTGAAATTTTTTCCCCCCATTGCTTGATTTTTCAAATATCCAGATTAGCTGAATGTATAATGCCATATGGCATTTATACAATTCTGCTTAGGTACTAGAGTGGCTCTGCCATTGTGATTATACTGCTTTTATTTTGTTTACAACGTTGTCATATGATTCATACCTTGTAAAAAAAGTTACTGTTAAAGAACTGAGGAGAGGTGATGCTTACATTTGGTAGCGTATAGGAAAAGAATGACTGTCTTTTTGAACAGTCTTTTTCTAACTCCCTGAGGAGTTGGAAGAGCCATAAGCAGTGGAAGCAAAGCAGTTTGCACTGTCTGAAGCAGGTAAGAACTCCTTTAGGATAAAATGAAAAGTGAGAGACTAGCCACAAGATGTGAACAACTCTGGTGATGGCTATCTTGCTAGACTGATCTAAGAAGAAAACAGAAAATAGAATGCTGTCTTTTGTCTTAATTGAGTGTGTGATGTGCCCTTCTATTAGTATCTCTGAGTACAACTCTTACTTGTGCCATTTAATTCATTCTGTGATTCCAGAGCTCTATCAGGCAGCAACTTACAAAGTATCAGAAGATGGCTCATTTGAAATTGTGGATGAGAAGACTGCAGATAAGGTAAAAATGATACAAAGAACACAGTCAGTTTGTAAAGTAAAGCTAGGTTTGGACACTGCTGAGCTAACTGAGGTTTTTAATAGGTATTTAGAAATTCTTCATTGTTTAAAGGAGTAACCAGATTTTTCACTTGTATTTTATTATTTACAAAGGATATCTGGTTTTCAAGGGGAAAAATACACACACACACTCCTCCAAAAATACACACACACTCCTGAAACCATTGATGTCACATTTTGTCTGGCTTATACCAAACTGATATAGTTCCAGTAAAGGACTTTTTAATGAATCAACAGCAAAGAAATTGGTTTTGCTTTAAAGCACTATCACCCAGTGCAATAATACATATATGTCGCAGTGAATAGATTGTGGTTTCTTAGTTTGTAGTGATATGTGTTTGATTAGAAAGTATGAATCTGGAGGCACTTTACAAATAGTCAGCATCCTCTCTCTTTTTACTTGTGCTATGTGCTGATGCTACAGCTGAACTCGAGCTGGGGTGTTCTGTCTGTTTCCAGAGTTGTGCTCCTAGAAACTCACAGAAACTTTCTTGTAATTCAGTGAGGTGAGGTGCTTGGGTTTGTAACTGTTGGGCATAGAAGAAATTAATGCAGGCGACAGGGATGTGCAAGCAGGAAGGGGGGTGTTTAGCTGTCACGAATCAAAGTAGATGAGAAACTTTAAGAAGAGAAGGAATTCCTAAAATTTCTAAGGCATTTTGAAAGTTATGCCACATGGTTTAAATTTGATATCTGACATTTAGCAGCTTTTCCATAATGAGAAATACTTCACTGAAAGAGGCAGATTTTTGCATCCTTGACCTATTCCCAGTTGAATGTGGAAAGCGAGCAACACGTCATGTTTTTCTAGGCAAAATACCTGTTGCATAACTAGCAAGTTTAGCTGTCAGTTGTTTTTCTGAAATCTTGCTGGAAATGCTTGCCGGGGTTATTGCCATATACATACTCTTGCTTTTAGGTGCCCTGGATCCCTCTGGACCCGTTGAACCCGAATCTGGAACAATATCCAGAGTATGCTCAGGCAAAACCTTTGCAGTGTACAGTGAAAGCTGGTGAGATGTTATACCTCCCTTCTCTCTGGTTCCACCATGTTCAGCAATCACATGGCTGTATAGCAGGTAAAATAAATAGCATTTCCAGATATATTTTTGAACTGTGCTGGGTGTGCAGGTGGATATAGCATAGCAAAATGTAACCGGTACCAAAGGTCCCTACAAAATCATCTGCCTCCCTTCAGGAAGAAATAACAACTCAAAAGAAGCTGATTCTGTTCTCTGCCTAGAGACTTATCTTCTTGCAGTCTGTTTAGGTTATAATCTTTGGAATTGTCAACAACAGTTAGGGATGTGGCTGAAAAAAAAGTCTTTGTTATATCATAAGTATGAAAGCTCATTCAGTTTTTGTTTATGATATAGAGCGGAGTTGCCCAGTCTGCTAAGTGCAAATTTACATTCACAGAAAGAACCTGCATGTAATAAGTGACATCAGCACATCAACAAAAATGCTTTGGAGGAAGAAAAGGGAATCAGAAAGTGTATGAGTTTTAGGTGTGGGTGTAGACACAACATGAAAGCTGCTCCATGGTTATGTGAACTAGAATTGCTCTGACTCTGTCTCTACCTTGCTAGTGAGTTCATGCTTGTTTTACTGTTCCCCTGTGCTTATCAAAAGTCCTGCCTTCTCTTTCTTTATAGGATGTTTCTTCATCTCTCTGTTTTTTTCTTTTTCCTTCTTTCCCAAGAATGTTTGAGAATTTCAAGCATTGTGAGTGGAGGAGTGGGAATGGGTGGGAGCTAGTATGAAGCATTATCATTATGTCCTATAAATTTTGCCAGGTTTGCAGAAGCTTTTTTACTATCCTTTGCTTAGAGTAATTCTGCCTGCCCAGACAAAGTAAATAAAGTGTTGTGAATAACAACATTAGTATTTGTGCTACAGTGCAAATATTAGAAGCCATTTTTTTTTTTAGCATCAATGATACCGTGATAAAAAGAAAAGCTACCTGTAAAGTAGTATTTCCAGTTGTTTTCCCCAGTACTGCTGAATCAATCCTTGAAGACTGCTTAGAAAAAGTAGAGTTGTTTCCAGCTGAAAGCCTCTGGCCACTCTTTTTTTTCCTGTCTAACAAATACTTAAGGGTTGCCGTGTTTATTTGGCCTGTTGACATTTAACTGCACTGCAGTCTGTATACGCTTTGAAAATCAATGTTGTCTGGATTTGGTCCAGTGAGTGTCTGAAACTAGTGTATATTCTTCTCCAAGAACCATTGGTACAGTATTATACTGCTTGGTTTATTGTTTAATTTTTTTTTAGCAGACATTACACCAAATTTAAAATGAGATACAGAATTATAGTACTGTCTCATTAATGACCATTCTAAAGTAATGGTGAGTTTGCCATCTGTTACACACTCAGAAAAGGAAAAGTTTCTACTAGATATTCAACTTTGCAGTGTGTTTGCTGGTTTTGGTCTAAATAGAAGCAGACATGTTGTGTTCATATAGAGTTTGCCTAATTTTGCTCCAAGGAATTCCCAGTATAGAGTCTGAAGAGGAGTTAGTTTGGTTAAGACAGAGTTGCATTGGCAGTGCTGCTAAAGAACTCAAATGTTTGCTTACCTTATGTTTGGCTGTAGTCACAGTTGTGCTCATTTCAAAGTTTGGTCACTAAGAATGGAAAACCTCTACTAGCTGAGCTGTCTAAAACTGTCTGTAAACATGCTTGCAAATCATTACATTACAGCTTTACGAATGCCTTTTTTTTTCTTCCCCTCAGTGAATTATTGGTATGACATGGAATATGACCTAAAGTACAGCTATTATCAACTGCTAGATTGTCTTACAAAAGCTGTGAAAGTGTTATAACAGAGGTGGAACACTGGAACTTGCAGTCTTTCTCTCTTGCGTGATGCAGTCATCAGCGTCTGTGACTGGAGTTGGAGCATGATACAAGTGAAAAGAGCTAAGCACTGAATTATCCTCAACAACATCTGTTGGACAAATCATGGCTATTTTGCTTGATTTCAGAGTCTCGGGTCATTTGGCCAGGTTTTCTGGCTTGTAAGTAGAAGATTTGACATCAGAATTTTTAGATCTTTGCATATTGCATTGGTGATGGCGAGCAAAATAAAATTTGAAGGGAAGGAATCTGGGTTTTGGAAATCCCTAAACAGAAACCATGACATTCATTCAGATCTACAGATTGTTTTCCTAACAAGCCAAATGGACAAGAAAGGATCTGCTCTGCCATCCCGGTGCAACAGGCTGCATCGTCCAAACACATCTATTCAGCTTAAGGCTAAAGGACCGTCTGGTTGTGTTTCATTAAGTTCAATGGCTGTGGTGTTCTGATGGTGAGAAATTACAACTTCTGCAATAAAAGGTCAGTTTAAAAGCTTACATTGGTACTAATTCTGACATCTTTCAAACAGTGTGATGCATATGATCATCTAGAAGGATATGGAAAAGACAGTGGTGGCAGCTGTCCCTGTTAATCCATGTTTTTTGTTACCTATTTTGATTTTGTTTTACCTTCATATTTAAATGCAGCTTCATTCTCTTATACCCTGGTGGTTTTAGAGTTCCTTTTGCCATGTCTGCAGTAAATCTGGATATCACTTGTGGGCTTGTGATTGGACATGGTTTAGCAGTTTGTGGGGAGCTGACTGGGACGTTCTTTATCACCAACCTAACACAGTCAAGTTGTGTTAGCCAGGAACTTGTTCCTATAGCCTTAATTCTGCCCTGTATGTCCACTGAACAACATGGGACTGCTCACTACGTCTGAGACCTGCAGGGCAGGAATGCAAGGCTATTAAATAGACAGATATTGCAAAAATGTAATAATGTTGTTTAGGATTGGTGGAGGTTGGTATTTATCAGCCAGTCTTCAAAGATTCATTAAAAACATAGGAAATTTATTTTACACGTGTTAGTCAGGAAAATACAGATACCCTTTAGAGAAGATTGACTGCTGTGAAGAAAAAAAACAGTTTACAAAGGCAGCTGGCACAAGACAATGTGATTGTCTTTTTTTGCCATTTGAGATTCAGGGTTACTAGTTTAATCTTTATATATCCTGAACTAAAATGCGTGCCAGGAGGAAGTGACAACTTCTGTCCCTGCAGGTCAGTTTATGCAGGACATCTGAGACGATGTGTTTGGAGCTGAGCATACTCTGAACTACATCTCCCAGCAGTCCTTGCTTGCTGACTGGAGGAAGCTGTCGCTGTGCTTCCATCTGGACTTTGGCAGAGATTTTAAGCCTGGGAAGCCGCAGGCTCCCGACAGTCTCATTTCACACAGCCTGAGTCTTGCCAAAAAGCAGCAGGCTCCTCTCCCCTCCCACGGAACCCGATGGCGGTGCAGGTGACCGTTCTGCCTTCTCCCAGGTGTCTGTTCGACGACCCCGTTCAGATCCGTGTGACGGGACTCCTGCCGCAGCAGAGGGTCACGCTCAGAGCCTGCCTTCTGGATGAGGGTGGGGAGCTCTTCCAAGCCCACGCTCACTACAGGGCTGATGGCAGTGGGGAGCTTGATCTGACCCACTGCCCAGCGCTGGGGGGCAGCTATTCTGGAGTGGAGCCCATGGGATTGCTGTGGTCTCTGCGGTCCAAAACACCATATAAGCGGCTGGCAAAGAGGAACGTCCTGACCCCTTTCTGTGTACACTTGGAAGTATATGAGGGCCACGGGGACATGAGCCGGTTGCTGGGAAAATGCACCCATGAGCGGTGCTTTTTAGGAGAGGGAGTGAAGAGGATTTCAGTCAGAGAAGGCCGGCTTAAAGCAACTCTCTTCCTCCCTCCTGGTGAGTTTTAATCTCGTTCTGGTTTTCTGTGTGTTCCCTATGGCCCCTGGATACACTCAGCAAGCCGGAGTAAGCCCCTGTTAATGGTTCCCTCAGCTAGGGAACTAGGCACTAGGGTGAATTCAGCTTCATAAATAGCAGAGAACTGGTCAGTGGAGAGACAATCTGGAAGTCAGATTCCATACTCTGTGCTGCTCATAGAAATGTTTGAGATAATCCATAGAGGAGACTTGCAATGATATATCCTTAAGGAAACAGTACTTGTCAGTGACACTGATTGTGTGTGTGCCTGAGAACTGACATGTAAAGCTTCAGAGGATGATTTCCTTTTGATATCTGCTGTTCTGATTTTGAGTGGTTGCTACTGGAAGGACAGCTCTAGAAACGTTTCTCTGAGTCTGTATATATATATATATATATACATACATATATATTGCTTTCATTGCAGGACCTGGACCATTCCCTGGTCTTATCGATCTGTATGGATCTGGAGGAGGACTTGTTGAATACAGAGCAAGTCTTCTGGCTAGCAGAGGCTTTGTGACTCTAGCTCTGGCTTACATGGCCTTTGAAGATCTGCCTGCTATGCCAGAAATTCTTGAACTGGATTATTTTCAGGAGGCTATAGACTTTTTGCAAAAGCAGCAGCAGGTAGGAGACAAATTATGGTACTCTTCCTACTGTAAACTATTTTCTAATTTCTTAGTGTGAAATGCTGTACATCACTGAATGTAGCTGAGTTTCTGAGGTGAAGAGGGAGACAGCATGTCTGAAAGACAATATGATCTTAAATGGAAAAGAATGTGCCTCAGTATCCAACAGCAAATAGTTGGATAACTGCTTTGCAGAGCACCTTATGGCCATCTGTGGAATGTTGTTATGCAAACCAGTATTTGTATAAGATTTACATCAAAACAGTTCCTGGACTAGTGCTGCTTAGGCAGATGATCTTATTTTTTTACAAGATTTTAGAAGAGAAAAAAATCCATTGACTTTTTCCACTATTTCTGACATACAGATTTTTTATTCTGACAAAGTTTCACAGGGCAGTAATAGAACTCTGTAACAACAGAATCTCTTGAAGTTGCAGCATGAGAGACTATGCCTTGTTTTTAAATGCTGGGGTTATATTTGAGTAAGTACCTGGAATAAGAAAAATACTTTCATAGCAATATATCATTATACTTAAAGTAAAAGAAACTAAGAGAAGTATAATTTAAGCTTTGAATGGAATGCTAATTAATGTGGTGTTCATTTAACAAAATTGTTGTTTGCTAGCACTTGGATACCAGGGATTTAGTCAGTTTTGAGAGCAAAATTCAACCTTGCTGTTTGTGTTGTTCCTCATAGAGCTGTGAAACTTCCAGAGTATCTTACAGGACCAGGGCACATTACAAGGTGAATCTGTTGTGAAGAGCCTTCACTATAATTAAATTCATTTAAACAGTTGTTGAATTTACTCAGCCTCAAGCATAATGAACTTTATGTGTTCCAAGATGTACAGAAGTTAATAGGTCAGCTGTAGCAGAGTTTTAAAAACCAATGTCAAGAAAGACAATCTAAACAAGTAAACCTATGGAAGAGTGTTTTTCTACAGGGGGCCTAAAGAGAGAAGACTACGACGAGTTTCTGGAGGCAAGAGCAGTAAAATTACAGCACTGAGAGGAAGTATCAAGCCAGGATGCTGAAGAAGCAAAGAGGCTTTGTCTATGGAGTTAACCAGGAAGAAAATGTGTTACAGGAGAGGAAATATTGAGGAGCTGTAGAATTCATAGTTGCTCTTATGAGGGAATCAATAAGGGATTGATAGTACCCAAACAGAGAAAAGGAAGGGGTAAAAAAAAAATAGGAGTTTTTAAAGAAGCAAAAGGAGAGATGTTATGCCAGCCCAGGATATGAATAGTTGATAATGGCTGTTTCATAACTGTCTTTCAGGTGAAAGATGCTGGGATTGGTGTTTTGGGCTTGTCTAAAGGAGCTGATCTAGCCCTTTCCATGGCCACGTTTCTACCTGGCATCAAGGCAGCTGTCAGCATATCTGGAAGTGGCTTTAATTCTTTCATTCCCCTAAGGGGAGATGGCTTCACTATTCCTGCCCACCCATATGACTTGGGGAGAATTAAGACCAGTGAGGAGTCTGGTCTTGTAGATTTTTCAGATATCCTAGATGATCACAGAGACCCAGCGACTTGGGATAGTCGCATTCCTGTGGAGAAGTCCTTGGCTAAGTTCCTCTTCCTGTCAGGGCTGGATGACAAGAACTGGAAAAGTGACCTTTACTGCCGGGATGCTGTTCAGCGCCTTCATCAGTGTGGACAGAAGGTGGAGTTTTGCTCCTATTCTGGAGCAGGACACCTTTTGGAGCCACCATACCTGCCTCTGTGCCAGTCTTCAATCCACAAAGTGCTTGGGGTGTTTGTGCAGTGGGGAGGGCAGTGGAGGGAGCATGCCAGAGCACAAGAAGATGCCTGGCAAAGGATACAGGCCTTTTTCTGGAAACACCTGATGAACTCAGACATTCCTAAGAGCAATCTGTAGTAGAGATATTGCCATCAGCAGGGGCAGCAGGATTAGTATTTCATTTCTTACTGTATTAGGGCCAAAATCTTCCTGAGTAATTTCCCATTTTTGAGTTTTTGAGTACTATCTTGCCCCCAGGTGCAACGTAGACTGACACCATCTGATGTGCCTGTGTGCTGGAGAAGACCCTGCATGGTGACATGCAGGTTGCATTTGTACTGAGCTGGCTTTGCCTTCAGTCTCTGTCCCTCTCTGCTCGCAGCAGAAAATAATCTTAAAGGAGAGACTGCCATTTAATTGTATTACACCTTTAATTAACCTAGATACAAACAGTGGCTTTTTGGAATAGTGTATCAGTACATGCACTTACCTTTCCTCTTGGTATATTATTTGCTCACATTTTTATGGAAAAATGGTGCTACATTTCAGATCCCAGCTGAGTGAAGAGGCGCTCTTCCGATTTATTCTGAAGTGCAGCAGTAACATTTGTTTCCGATACTTCAAAAACCAGAAGAAATAAATCTTATTGAGGTTACACTGGTGGTATCTTCTGCTGGTTTCAGATATGCTAATGTCAGACTGAAGTTTGCACTGCACTACTCAATAAATAAAATATGTCTGTGTGTATGCACGGTTTACTTGAAATTACCTGAACGAAGGCTTTGCCTGTCTTAATGCCTGTAAATACACAGGCAGTGATCCTAGTGTAGTCACAAGCTGTCTCTTTGCTTAGCTGAAGAGTTCCTATGCAGTTGTTAACCTCTTACTACTAAGAGGAGGGGGAAAATTTGTGAAGTACTTTGCACTCTGCTCAAGATGGGAGTGATGGAGGTGTGTTAAGTACCTGCTTTTGAATGTTGAAGCTCAGTTTATCCCTGTAATCCCATTCTGACCACAGAAGGAAGTAGGAGATGGGTGTCTGTCTTTGAGGCAGCAAAACCTCACCTTGGAGAGAGCACAAATTCCTGCTGAGAGGAATTCCTGCCCCCAGAGAGCCCGGATCCTACTGAAGGTAGGATTGTAGCCTCAGTTTTCTCACCTAAGGGAGCAATGCTTGGGCCTTAAAGGGCTGTGGACTCTAATGCGATATATCTGATGCAGAGTGTGTTCCCTCACATACTTCCAATTTCTTGCCCCTTCCTCAGAAGGTGGCTGGATATTGCTCAGCAGAGATCTCTCTCTCCTGGCCACCCATCCAGGTGATCTGTAAGAATTTCTGTTATTACATCTTCATTTCTGTTTGCCCTCTGTGTGTCTGCGTCCTGCACAAATGGTTGCTGGTGAATGAGTAGGACCTGACAGAAGAACAAACTGTGGCAACAAGGGAATGCAGACACATTTAAGCAGTTCAGATTGGATATTCGGACATTCCTTTCTCCATCATTTTTCTATTTTATTGAAGTAGTAAAAAAAAATCTGGGTCGTTCGTCCAGATTTGTCTCAGGCTCAGCATGCTGAGGTTTTCTGGGAGATGAATGGTTTTGTTCTTTTGTTTTTACTGAATACAGCGAGGCTTATGCAGTACAGTGTGTTCTGTGATGTAACTCACATCTGTTTTAATCCCTCCTGAGGTGAAGACATACTTTCTCAGTCTTCAGTAGGCAGTTTACAGATGTACATTTTGAATCACAATATTGTGAGCTGCTGAGAAGATACATTTGCTTTCACTATAGGAAACTACTACTAAAGGAAAAATACTTTTCATCAGTACGTGTACAACGTTTTTGGTGGTGCTTTCATACAGTCTGTTTTGTTGCCACATTCAGCAGTCACATTCAAGGAAAACAGTGTTGAAATGAGGTAGGAGAGAGCTGCGACGTGACTCCATCGATGATGGTAGCACACAGGACCTCTTTGTTTTGTCACTCTGAAATTAAAGCTTTGCCAGCCAATTGAAAGCTCTTTATTTACCCCATGGGTGGTGACTGGCAAGAACAACTGAAAGACTGATTAAGCAGTAAAAAGACTGAAAAGGCTGATTTAGCTGAATCTGTGCCATATTCAAACAAGAAAATATGTCAGCCTGCTCAGTTGTGTGGGGTTTTCTTTCTAAATCAGCTGGCCATCACTGAAACTCAGGTTTTAAAGTTGTCTTCAGGAAATAGAAACTGGAAACCAAAGGGAGACTAATATCAAGTTATTGGAAGTGGCTTATTTTCAATAAAATGCTTATGTTTGCTCTTGAGCATATTCTACAGTGCTTTGCACAATGCTTTGAATTCTTAGCATTTCTTCTGCTGAAGAGGTAGTTTAGACAAATGGGGCTAAGATGACATTTTTCTGAGTCGGAGATGAAGATTCTACCAGTGGCAGCCTGTAGAGTTAGGCTGCTTTGTGTAGTTTCTCCAGGCTTGCAGAGTATGGGCAACATTATTCAAGGACAATGGGAAAGGTATTATTTAATTATAGATTATTGATCTTTAGCTGCAAAAGAGAACCCATGCTAGGCACAACTGATAAAACTAATAAAATGGAGATTAGAAGATCAGTAAGAGAGCAGAATTATTTTCTTGTAATTTGCTTGTAACTGAAAAGTGCTTCAGATGAAACAGCACATCAGAAGATTCACTTGAACAAAAAGATCTCAGCTTGATGCTTGCATCAGTCCTGCTTTTGTTCAGCACTGTGCACTACGTGTTTATTAAGAGAATGAGAAGAGTTTTTTAAGAAACTGAGAAGCAGTCTCACACATAAGCAGCTACAAATAAATTTGTTAAAAGGGAATGATACATCTTGCAATGCTCTTCTTGGGCAATATCATTTCCATAGCTCATTTGTAATTGGGCAACAACAGACTGCTGACTTGTCACTGCATTCTAAAAGTTTTCCTTCTTTGCTCTGGTTGAACTTGTGGTCTCTCAGCATGGAAAGACAACTACCCCAAAGGGAATGTAATTGCTGTGAAAAAATCCCATCTGTGATTTGAATCTCTTTAATCTCCACTGTAGCCTTACTGCCCAGCACCCCTGAATCTGACATTCTAGGTGAATGTGATCTGAGCTATGTGACACACATATAGCTTATTATTTTAAAGTTGCTGTTAGTGAAGCAGGCCACAGGCTGTTTGCACACCGTGAGACCTTTGGATACAGCTTTGCTTTTTCATTGTGGGTTTTCTATGTCACAATGCAATTTTTATTTGCGTAGCTCCATCTGACTCTTAACAGCCCTTCAGAAAAAGCTCCAGGGACTTCTGGTCAGGAGCACCAGGTTGAAATAATTTGAGCACTGCATGGGGCAACGAACCCTGTACTTTTCAAGGCTCCTTGAAAAACCTTATGAGACCTTTCTTTCATGAGTTCGTTCCCCATACTTTGCCAGATATGTTCTTAGGCTCTGTGTAGTTGACAAAGAAAACTCTTGAAACTCTTCAACGGATACCTAAAAGTACCAGGTACGTAAGCTAAAGCTGATCCTGAAGCATTTTTGATGTATGTAAGGTATAACTCACAGAAAAGTTCAGAATGAAAGGAGTCCAATTGTCTTTATTAGAATAAAGGGAACCACGATTACAAGAGAGGTAAAACATCTTTGAGAAGGTACCTGTACACTGGGGCCTCTGCAAAAGTACTGAATCTTGGAGATTTTGGTGGAATTTTACTAGGAGCTGCTCTGAACAAGGAGACTTCAGTGTAAATGTGCTCCTGTAATAGTAGTAGTTTCTTACCAAGGAGAAGGAGCATCTCTGCATGGCTTCTGCAAGCAGGGCTGTTTCTCAGCCAAAGGGCAGAAGGAATGAAATGAAAGATGAGAATATGCATTGTGAGGTGTAATTAGAAGTGGCCTTTCCCCATCTGCCCTTTCAGTTTCGTGTGTGTGTCTGGAAGTCTAAAGATGATCAGGGAAGATCACTTTTTTTTCTTTTTTAAATTCAAAGCTTACTCAGTGCTTGTAATACATTATCATATCATTTGTTTTCAAGCTCTAAGATAAAACAGCTTTTTAATGACAAAAAACATTCAAAACTTTGACTATAGTAATATTTTGCTAAGAATTTTGTAATGCCATTTCAGAAAAAAAATCCCCATTCTGCACTTTTTAATGCTCTATATATGTAATTTGGAAAAGGAATCTGAGCCAAATGTAGTGCAGAGAAAGTGATATTTTGAGTGAAGCTTGGCTAGAAGGAATATTAATGTTTCCAATGAACTAACACCCCTCACGGCATTTCCTGCAAAACATCACCATAATTTATCATTGTCCAGGCCAAAATATAGGAAAGCTAAAACTCAGTGTTTTTCAGAGTAAAAAAAATTGTTTGTGAAACATAAAGATGTGCCCTGACTCTAGATACCCTGTGGGGAAAATAATTAATGAGTTGCATTCTATTAATTTAGGCTTATATCTGTGACTCAAACCACTGAACATCTAACATCTTGAATGAAGTCTACATTAAAGTAACTTCAGTTAAAATTGTGGACATGTGCTCCAGGCTAGCTCTGTTAAGAATACCTTGCAGTGAAACCATGCCTTTTAGAGTTCCTGTGACCTTATATTAATCCGAGGTAACTATAGCAGAGCTTTCAGTTATAACTAGTCTCAAAAGTGCTGAGACTGGGTGCAGAACCAAGTGTTGGCTCAAAAGACATATTGTTAGGACTGGGCAAGAACAAAATGCTGGAGAAGCCATTAGTGTCGCACTAGCAGAAAATAGCTATCTGTAGAGCATTCTTCTTCATACCCAGCCTGTTTGGTTTTCAGTTTCTGTTGCTAGAAATTGCAGCTCCAGGAAGACCAGATTACCTCTTTGTGTGACATCAGAGAAGTACACTGGTAGCAGTGCAATTTGTACATAGTTGTGCATATAAGTGATACATTTTGTCTTTGAGATGGAAGGGCTGATCTTTCAATCTGCTATCTCTGATGCTCTGAGAATCTACTTTGCAGGTTGGGTTGATGTTACTTTAAATATATATGCTGTTTACGAATTCTGGATGCTAAGATTAAGAATTCAAGCAGTTGGCAGTGACATAGAGGTCAGTGCATGACACTGTGCAGAATTTGAGAATGACGGTATGAGCTGGACTCGGTGCATTTGGCTTGCTGACCAGTCATTGGTTCTTGCCAGACATGTGTGAGATGAATACTGATCTACTGTGCTCCTTTGTGGTAATGACAGAATATTACTAGTACTAGGTATAAATCCTAAAGTAAATAAAATATATTTGTCCTTCACTTCTACTGTATCAACTATGTTTTCCATTGGTCCTCAAGCATTTTCTTTTTGTAAGGACTCTGGATCTGTCGAGAGTAGACCCCCTCTCTGTTAGATGCTGCACAAACAAACCCACTCACATGACTTACCATCACACCAGTACACAAGCTGCTGATTAGTGCAGTGGACAAATTTATGCAAGAGTTATCCATCAAGATTGACTAAATGTAAAGACTCTATCTCTTTCGCTCAGAATCTCAGAACTGCAAATTATATGTAACCATAAGAGTATTTTGGAGAATTACCACTATGGACTTGTCCTGTTCTTAGACTTTTCTGTGAACATCTGTTTTGACCATTGACAGAACCAGCATGCTGGGTGGGCTAAATGGTCTTCTGAGCTGATGCAGAGAAAACCGTTTTTGCTTGCATGTTTACTATGCTTTTTGTTTGTTTGTTTGTTTGCTTTTGTTTTTGTTTGTTTGAGAAAAAATTAAATATTTTCTATGTCTTTCTTGACAGAGTTGATTGTTGCAATGAAAGGACACCAACTCTCAATGCTCCCTCACATCCCCAGCATGCAGCTCTGGACTGCTGCCAAGGGCTGCAGAGAAAACACATTACTTTGTTTTCATGTTTATTCTAGCAGAATGTGCACTGTCTGATGGAAAGTGGAACACGTCATGTTGCTTTCCTGTGAAAGGTATGTTTGTAAGGTCCTTATGTACTGATAAGCATGTTTTTTCACCTTTCAGGATAAGTTTGCAAGTGGCAGTTTATGTATAGGGGGATTCTTCTCTCAACTGCATGACAATTGGTGCAGATATAATAAAAAGAAATCTTTGTGGTTATCAAACTGTACGTAGCTACAACTTTATGAAGAATATGTACATTCCTGTGCATAGTATGAGGCAGGTAAAATGCTGTAAAGTCATCTGAAGCCTTCTGTGACTTATAACCAGCCTCCTAACCTTCCTATTTTCTATAGGTTGAATTACAATTCAAGAAGACAATATCCCTGTAAGATCAGGATCAATTTGAAAATCCTGCTTGCGAGATGGTATATTAAGTTTCTCTGTATTTGTCTGAAATATCCCAGTTCACAACAGGTTAAATATGTGCTTGTTTATCCTTTAAAATGGTGTGCACTACTCAAGCCTTATGTTCACAATCAGAAGAATGGGTACAGGAACCTATGACTTTCTGCAGCAAATGCACGAATACCTCAGGAGAGGATGTGGTATCTCCTACTGTTTTCTGGAATGTCTACGTGCCTTAGATGTTGTCTTCTGTGGAAACCGAAGGATGAATTTAACCAGGCAGTTAATGACAGTTCCATGCATCCTCTGTTAGAAGAAAGTAAATACTGAAACTGAAATATTTTTGTGGGAAGAAACAGATTCCAATATGAGAGAAATTAGTGGAGTTTTGAAAGGAAAGATAAGGGGGCTGAGACACATACCTCTGCTCTGCCTGGTCACACTCTCCAAATTAGTATTCTGATCAGCAAGTTGTTCATTGTACCTGTGATTTGTTGTGATGGGTTCAGAAAAAGTCTTGAATTTTATTCTACATTAGAACAGCAAGTTTTGAAATTTTGGTATTTGTTTCATGAGGTGAAAGCTTTATTTTATCGGCCAATACCTGACACATCATACAATGTGAAATTAGTCTTTTACTGATTTAGTTTCCTCAGGATACTTGACCCTTGTTTAGGGTGCCCTGTCTTTCTCTTATTGCATCTGGAATATTGTGCCCATGCCCAGAAGAGGGGTGAGGAGGACTGGAGACAAACATTATCTTTTTTTCTTTTGTTCAATTGTCTCTGGCTTTGAAGTATATTTTGCATAGCCTAAAGAATCACTGTCTATTAGTAAAAGAACTGCTTCAAAAAAGCCACCATAAGTGGGCTTTTCACCTTTTGACACCTGAAAGAA